GTACAATGCACAAGGGACATCACTCAAGATAACAATATAAATATAATACTAATACAGAAGAGTGAGTTCCCTTGACCTCACAATTATTTCAATCTATTACATCCCTTTACCCTTAGAACACAATAACACATCTCTCAATAGAACAATTGATAGTATCCTAAAATCACCAATTATATTGTAACATGAACACTATGGTAGATTACATCCTTGCAAACAATGCACAATATGCTACAACATAATCAAGATACAAAACAATGATGTCAAAGTCCTTTTGACCCTTAAAATCATAGGTCTAACTTATTTGGGACTTTGATTGTCCTGCTTGACCTTCTCAGTGGCTTTTGATTTGGTGACTCAAGATTCTGACCATCTGGATTCTCTATCTCAGGAGGTCTAGGATTTAAATCATTAACTCCAGAATTTACATTTTCTGACTCCCGACAACTTGGTTCACTCATATCAACAGAACTTGATTGTGGAACAAACTGAGTTGGTGTGAACTGTTCAGATTTGGTGGGATTGACAGATTCACACTTATTATCTGCACAAGTTATTTTTAACTGGTCTGCATGTCTACGGACAATAAGTCCATCATTTGTTTTTACTTTATAAGACACAGGTCCTGTACATTGAACAATTTGACCTGGTATCCATTTTTCCTTTCTCCCATAATTTCTCAGATACACATTATCATTAACTGCAAATTCTCTTTCAATGGATGATTTGTCATGATTTACTTTTTGTGTATGTTGATGTTGGGAAACAGACCTTTGAACAGTTGGATGTAGTAGGTCAAGATGAGTTTTAATTTTCCTACCACATAGCAATTCACATGGTGCAACACCTGTTGTTATATGAGGAGTTGTGCGGTATTTGGTTAAGAACCTGTTTACTCTTTCTCTAAGAGAAAACTTGTTACCGGTATTCATTTTTACCATAGCGGTTTTGAATATGCCTACCGCTCTTTCAGCCAAACCATTCCCAGCAGGATGATAGGGGGATGTGGTTATATGCTCAATACCATTTGCCACACAAAACAGTTTAAACTCATGAGCTGTGAAACTAGGCCCATTATCTGAAACAATTTGATCTGGTAATCCATGAGTTGAAAATATTTCCTTAAGTTCTATAATGGTATCATTTGCAGTGATTGTGTTCATGATTTTAACTTCTAACCATTTAGAATGTGAATCAATAACAATTAAGAACATTTTGTTCATGAAAGGTCCTGCGAAATCTATATGTATACGTTTCCATGGCTCGATTGGCCAGTCCCAGTTTTGCAAAGGTGCTGTAGCTGGTTGATTTGAATGTTGTGCACAGCTTGAACAAAGCTTTACATATTTTTCAATATCAGCATCCATATGTGGCCACCAGAACCATGATCTTGCTAGACTCTTCATTTTGGAAGAACCAAGATGAGTATCATGTAAAGTTCTTAAAACTTCTTTTTGTAACATTTTGGGGATAATTACTCTTGACCCCCATAGTATACATCCATCTTCTAGACTTAACTCTGTTTTTCTTATTTTATATGGCTTTAAGTCATCATTCACAGACTCTTCAGGCCAACCATTCTTACAGTACTCATATACTTTTATTAAGCACTCATCTTTTTGTGTTTCTCTCTTAATATCATTCACATTTATATTGGAGTTATCCATGATAGTGAAGAGAACAAATACATCTTCTGGTACATAGCTCAGGCTTTGGTTTTTTAAAGGTAATCTACTAAGACTATCTGCACTATTCTCAGATCCAGGTTTGTATTTCAATTCATAATTGTATGCAGTTAGTGTGATAGCCCATCTTTGAATCCTTGGTGAGGCATGCTCAGGTAGGGTTTTGTTTTCTCCAAATAAACCTAGCAATGGTTTATGATCTGTAAAGATGGTGAACTTCCTACCAAACAGAAACTTATGAAATTTCTTAACACCAAAAATGATGCCTAAGCCTTCCCTATCTAACTGAGAATAATTTTTCTCAGCCTGGTTCAAAGATCTACTGGCAAAAGCAATGGGTCTGTCACCCTTCTCATCCATGTGGGACAAGACTGCTCCTACACCATCTGGTGAAGCATCACATGTTAATATAAGTCTTTTCCCTGGGTCATAGTGAGTTAGTAAGGTGTCAGAAGACAAAGCCTCTTTTGCTGTATTAAAAGCAGCTTCTTGTTGTTTACCCCAGTGCCAAGTTGCATTTTTCTGTAGCAGCTTGTACAGTGGTGATAGTTTACCAGACAGATTTCCTATGAACTTTGCATAGTAATTTATTAAGCCCAAAAAAGCTCTTAGTTGTTGGGTATTTTCAGGTTTGGGTGCTTCTTTAATGGCTTTTGTTTTCTCAGGTTGAGGTCTGATGCCTTGCTTGCTTAATATATAACCAAGAAAACTAATTTCTGTCAACATGAATTGACATTTATCTTTGTTTATCTTTAAACCTTTTTCACCAACAATTTTTAATACTTTATCAAGTGTTTTAAGATGTTCAGTGTCATTCTTACCAGTTATGTACACATTGTCAAAGTACACACAAACATTTGGAATGTCCTTAAAAATACTGTCCATGACAGCTTGGAAAATTCCAGGACTAGATGATATGCCAAAACATAGTCTTTCATATTGGTAGAGTCCTTTATGTGTGTTTATTGTCGTATAGACTTTTGAATCTGGATGCAGTTCTAGTTGAGTGTAAGCATGACTAAAGTCTAATTCAGTGAATTTGTCTCCTCCTGCCAAATTCAAAGAAATTTCCTCAATGTTAGGTATAGGGTACCTATTTAGCTCTATTTGCTTATTCAGTGTAGTTTTATAATCTCCACAAATTCTTATAGAACCATCCTTCTTTAACACTGGCACAATGGGTGTCGCCCAATCGGAATAGTCTACCTTCTTTATAATGCCATTAGATTCCAATCTACTTAGCTCATTTTCAATTTTATTCCTCATTGCATAAGGTGGAACTCTAGCTTTGCAGTATCTTGGATTTGTGTCTTTAATGCTTAACTTCACTGTTCTATCATTTAGTAATCCTGGATTACTAAAAACACTTTTATTTTCAGATATAACTTTATCTAGTGAAGTAAGACTAGATTCTTTTACATTCTTCAATGAACAAATACTCTCCCAATTTAACTTAAGATCACTTAACCAGTTCCTACCTAGTAATGGCGGTCCATTTCCTTCAACCACAAGAAGAGGAAGTTTAACACTTTGACCATTATAACTTACATGAACCATACACTCTCCTATTACCGGAACATTGTCACCGGTGTATGTTGTTAGACACTTGTGACATGGCTGTAGAGACACTGATCCTCCTGTGACAGCGTCAAAATCTTTCTTTGTTATGACTGTTAGAGATGCTCCAGTGTCAAGTTGGAAGCTGATGCTCTTACCGTTGATATTAACTAGTACATTGATGGGAGCATGACTTATTGATTTCACAGAGAACAGGTTGAAATCCGGCTGCGAATCAGTTTGAGCATTTTCACAGGTAGAGTGGTTCATTGGTTGGGTTAGGTAGTCTTGGTGAGAGTTAACATAGTGCTGCCCTTGGTTGCGGTACTGTCTTGACTGGCTAGATTTAGCAACAGACGAAGACTTTGCAAAGCAGGCCTTGGCAATATGACCTTGCTCACTGCACTTATAACAAGTTGCTAACTTGAACTTGCACCAATGAGATGCATGGGGACCTTTGCATCGATGACATTTTTGATAATTATTACTAGATTTAGATCTAGGATTTGAACGAGCAGGCTGTTTAGCATAAGTTGGAATGCTCTGATGGGGTTGATGTTTATTGACTAACCTGCTGTTTACTGCATGGATCTCTGAAGGTGCTAAAGATCTCGCCGCATCTGATGACTGCTGGAATGACATTGCAAGTTGTATTGCTTTTTCCAATTTTAGATCTGACTCGAGCAGCAACTTTCTTTGAATATCAGGGCTGTTTACACCTGTCACAAACTTTTCACATAGTCTGTCAGACAGCGTGTCTCCAAATTCACAAAATTCACTTAAATGACGTAAAGCAGCAACATATTCTGATATCGACTCGTTTGGTTGACGAGTCCTACTGTCAAATCTAGCTCTACATAAAAACTTTGATGGGGTAGGCGCATGGTGGTCTGTTAGCAATTTGCTCAGCTCGTTAAAGCTCTTGGTATCTGGACTAGCTGGTGCGCATAAGTCTTTTAGTAGCCTAAATTGTTGAGGCCCTATGACTGTTAACAAAACAGCTCTCTTTTTGGCTTCTATCGTCACGTTGTTAGCTTCTAGGTAAAAGCTTAACCTCTCTAGGTAATCTTGAATGATTTCATCATTCGCATCAAATTCTTTTATTTGGCCATACAGCGCCATAATTCTAGAAATAATTAGCTAATAAGCTCTAGCAAACCTCTTTTTTGCGTAAGTAGGTGCTCTTTCTAGTAGATGTTTATCCTTCGTCGCCAAATGATGTAGATTGTAATGACTGACGAGAAGCCGCGTTGGTTGTTAACAGCCTTTATTATGTACAGACGCCATGATGCAAAGAGAGAGAGGAAGGAAGTACAATGCACAAGGGACATCACTCAAGATAACAATATAAATATAATACTAATACAGAAGAGTGAGTTCCCTTGACCTCACAATTATTTCAATCTATTACAGATACATTTTTTATAATATTAATTATTATTAGCTCTGTAAAATGAATGGTTGTTTAATTTTTCTTATATTAAATATTTTAAGCGATTAATTAATCGAAATGGTTTTATTCCGTTAGCTAGTTTTTACAGTTTATAACTATAATTAGAGTCTCAACGACAGAATCAAATGAGAAAAAATCTATAGTCTATAGCGTTATTATATACCGACACTGTTGATAAGCCACTCAACGACAGTCTCGTTGAGAATAGTGTAGGATCGGCTGCTCTAAAAATGGATTGGATTTTAAACTGCTCAATTCTAGACTCCAGCTATTGATAAACAAAAACTTCTAATCTAGATCTAGATCTACTTGGACATGCTGTTTCACTGCTGATTTCACTTTACGTTTACGGTTCAGTGTAGGCCTAATGTTTATTTTTTTGTTGTTTACCTTACTTTCATCGATTGTTATTTATTTACAAAACTTTGCAGATAAGTTTTTAAATAACATGACCTAGGGCGTCCTAGGGCTATCGTTTTAGTTTTAAGTTTTAACTTAGTTAAAATTAAAAATTACGCCCTACCGTGACGGCAGTTGAAGTTAACGTAAAATTAAAAATAAAATCTGCCGATTAATAGATTTAATTATATTTCTATATAGATCTAGAATCGGACGATATTTCGAGTCGTCCCTTTGAATCCCGGACAGATCGTCCCCCCGGCGTGGCCTCAGCCAACCGGCGGGCTCGTTGCATTGAGTTAAATATAAACTCAAAACAATAATATAAACAATCTCCTTTTAGGTCGGTCAGGCCACATACCAGGCACGCACAGTGTTGTGTGTCGTGCCTTAACCAAAATAAACTATCTCCCTTCATTATCATTAGATATATTTAATTAGTTAATTAATTAATTAATTTGCTAATTTATAAAATTATGTATGATGCTATAGCATTAGGTAAGTTACAGTAAGTATCATTTTTTAAATTATGTATTTGTACTATAAAGAAACAGCTTCGTTGTTTGAATACCACCCCTTCCCCTTCTTGAACTCAAAGTTCAACTTTTAACCCCGTTCGTAGAGACATGCGGTATGTTGTAAGGCGGCGGGTGGGTAGGGTATATACTCATTGAAGAAAAAATCCACCGTGGTGCGTGTTATTGGCCTTGGGCCTTCGGTGACGTTGTTGGCGTTTGCTGTGAGGGGGAGAGGGGTGTGTTATATCCGTTTAAAAAAATCGCAACATGGTATTGGCCTATGATGACGTCGGCGCAAGCGGGGAGGGGGGGGGGGGAGACACTTTTTTTTTTAAAACCAAGAACTAGGCGTTTAAAGGCTGTAATGAAAATCAAGGACTGGTTTAGCCATGATGTCGAATTTAACGAGTGATGCTTGCTGGGTCTATCATCATTCGATTGCTTGGCGATGGGAATCTCGCCAAGCTCAGTTTATATTTACAGTGAACTATTGGGATGCTGTCATACACAAAGTAACAGCTACCGAATGTAGCACTTAAAACATCGAGTGCATCCCGCTCATTATAAATTTGAAATACAAGTTATGGATTGCCCAAAAACTTGAAGGACTATCAGAATATATGCATTGTATTATAACATTAATCATTACGATATAACTAAAATGTGTATCCAAATATTTTTAGGCTAACAGGATCTGCATTTAAATAAACAAGACCTATTAGGCTACTTTTGCATGGTAGCACAACTACATTTTTAGATTTAATAATGAGTAGCCTAGTCGTGCATTAAAGGGCTGTACTCAATAACAATGAAAAAAATGAAATGCCGGCTTCAAACTTCAAGCTATGATTTCCCCGTATTCTTCTACTAGAAATATAACTCCCTTGTTCTAATGACCTCACCCTCCTCCTCTCACCTAGTTCAATTTAAAGTTACACTTTCAACCCCGTTAGGATGCGTGAGCTACTGATGACCTAACTATTGAAAAAAAAACTATTCTGGCGTTAAATTGCCCTCCCCTACTCGCAGCACTTTGGGGCCATACACACCAGGAAGGTCTAGGTCGGTGTTGTATCTTGTGCAAATTTACTCACAACACGACTACACACTATGGTTGTATCCAGGACTAAAGTCTAAAGCTGCGACACTCGCATAGAGTTGGATTTATTCGTTAGATCATTGTGCTTCAAATTCTGTTTCAATATTGGATTAGATGGATATAATGTTGGAATTCAGTTAGTTTGTTATATTATATTTATCTAAATGTCGTGTACCATCAGAAACTAAATTGGTTGACAAGACACATGTGTAGGCTAAAGAATGACCTCTAGATCGAGCCAAAGATGGCTGGTTAAGGTTGACAAACTGTGGTTTTCAAATTTCATGGTGATGCTTTTCTAAAGGATTTTATTTTGTGCTTTCTTTGGGATTATTTTCCCACGTTTTCTTTAACTTGCTTTCTCTGTTTGTTTGTCTTTCCAATCAAATCTTGCGATCGAAATTTCTGGCACTTCCCAGTTAGCTAGCGCGCTGAAATTTTCAGGGAAGCTTTCTTTTGGATGACCATTGAATATTCAATTGTTATTATTACTAAATTGATCAATGGAAACATTTTATTGAGCATTTTAGACCGCTATATAATCTATATATATAATTCTCCTCTGCTAGCGTTAGAAAAAAAACCAGCGACGCGTACCTCGCGCGCAGTGAAGCGAACGATCACATGTCGCCACAAGCTTAGGGGCAGAGAATTTAGCTTGAACCGAGTTTAAACTTACAGGAGGTGGGCCAGTTTGGGGGAGACGATATGGTCGAGTGGTTGGGCACACGATTGCTATCCCACTCGACACGGGTTCAAATCTATGTGTTCTAGTCAGTAACGTATTCAAACAACGTGTTTTTTACGAGTTGTCTTTTTACGAGTTGTCTTTTTACGAGTTGTCTTTTTACGAGTTGTCTTCGTTTACCCAAAAAAAGTGAAAAGATAAAATCGATAGCAAGATTTTAATGCAAACAAACAGACAAAGACTAAAAAGTAGAAAATAATAATCATTAAAAAAGTTTTAAAAAACCCACGTTTTCTGATTGAACTAAAAAGTAGAAAATAAATGCTATAGGCCCTACATCACAATAATGCAAGCGATCACTCTACTATAAGCGAGCAAAAACGTGGGGCGCCGTGATTTTCTTACAGTTTCTAATACTGTTGACTCTCTACAAGCTCCCTAATAAAAGTCAATAGTATTATCTAATCAATAGTAATATAACTTTTACTTCGGCGCCCCACGTTTTTTGATCGCTTATAGTAGAGTGATCGCTTGCATTATTGTGATGTAGGGCCTATAGCATTTATTTTCTACTTTTTAGTTCAATCAGAAAACGTGGGTTTTTTAAAACTTTTTTAATTGTGTGATGTGATTATTCAGAAGTAATTTGTAAGTAGAAGCTTTTCACATCCAACCATTTTAACAGTTTGCGATTGATCTGCGGCTGGGCTGATTAATTTACATTTAGCAAAACTACACACTACACGGCGCCCTCAGGCCGTTGTTTCAGCATGCCCTACTAGTCAATTATAGACAAGTTTAGAATCAATACATAGAGCCAACACGCCGATTTTTATTTAATAATCTTCAAGAGCCATTCCTCTAGGGTCGTTATTTTCACGAAATTGTCGTTTTCCATTTTGTTGTCAAGAAACTGGTATTTAGTTCACGAGAACGTATGAAAACCACTCATGCGTGACCGAAATCGTCGATTGGGTGCCTTCACGTGGTTTGACACGTGTTGACCTAGGCCATTGTTTACATCCAAAAATCACCCAAAACGGCCTTTTTTCGAAAAATTTGTTTGAAAAAATGGCTAAGTCCAGTTTGAAAAAGTGTCATTTTCGGGCCCATTTTAAAAAACGTAAAAAAATCCGAACTACACGTAGAAAAAAATGGCTTTTTCGGCCCTTTTTAGCTCCAAAAACGCGTCGCGTGACGTCACCGTGACGTCAGCCGCCAACCAAAACGCGGAGAAAGCGCGCGTTTGATTGGTTGGCGGCTGACACTATGAAATCCTCTAAGGACGATTCGAATGGTATACCCTAGAATCTATTATTGAGAGTAAATGAGAGTAATGAATCATTGAATGTCGATGTCTGAATGTTAATGTGCTAGAAAGGAGTCATCCATAAATGACATTACGGACGTCATGCTTTTTTTTTTGACGATTTTTACCTCCCCCCTCCCCTCAAAATTGCAGTTGAATTTTTCTAAAAAATACGATATTTTTAAAAAAAATATATTTTCCTAACCTAAATCTTGTCTGAACTCTGTCAACATCATTTTAATCAATTCAAGGTCACTAAACTCTTACTCTTACCCAGTCTAATGTCTTAAATTTAAACATTTCACTTTACACAGTGACTTACACTACTACCAACTAGGTAGGGTCTAGAGATTCTACTGTAGAATCTAGATTATTCTAGATCTAGGCATTTTAACAAAAATAGTTAATCATGGCATATTGATTATCATATTTACTTAAGTCGATGCGCAATGGAGAGAAACTACGACTTGCCTTTGCGGCGATGTTTTCCATGGTACTGTGCATGCGTGTGTTTACAACCGCAGAACCCGAACACTAATCCTAACCCTAGCCCTAATCCTAACCCTAATCCTACCCCTAACCCTCATTCTAGCCCCAACCCTAGCCATAGGTCACTGCGCATGCGCAGAGCTATCTTTTGCTGACTAAGTGGAGACGTTGGGGAGAAAAATCTTCTTCCGAGTAGTCACTTCGTTTACTTAAATCTAAAAATGATCGTTAAATAAATTTTGTCAGGCACGTGCCTTTTGTTTATTCTGTTTTCCGTTTCTTTTTATAATTATATTATTATATACTATTACTAGTGTGTTTGAAAGATGGTATCATGAAGTTTAAATAATTATTTTTTATAATTTTACAAGTAAACCTTACCATCTTTTGGCCATATCACCTTCTGTTAGATATTTTGATTCATGGTATAAAAATCAATATTTTATTATTGTGGCACATAGGTAACTACAAAACCAAAATTGTTTGGTTTCAAAAAATATTTTTTGGCTACCGACTATAATTTTCTTTTTAAAAACCGTTGCGTACCTGTCCCCACGCGTTGTTGCTGAGATAGAAGTAAGTCGGACGCAATATATAAGACAGGTTTCATCAATGCGTTTCCAATCCTATCTTCTTAGACGTGTGACCTTGTTTTCTAAAACTGAGTTATTTAAATGTAAACAATGCCTGCGCTTGAATGATAATTATCAGGACATGGGTTTACCTACCCTACCGCATGAAAACCTTGAGTGTGCGTTAAACACTCAGTGAAATAATGAGGTAGAACACACTTCGGTGACCACCCATGTGTCAAGGACGTAGAGTGGCGCTCTTGGGAGCCCCCAGTTACACTACCGCAGAGGTGGCGCATATGGCCCCTGGCTATTTAAAACGAACATAGGTGCAATCGTGCTCATATGATAACCCAGAGTGCCAAATGGCATCTTGTTAGCAATTATGCAGATTGCGTCATTCGCTGAAGTGACACAAATTAACAGGATTTTTTCTTTAACACTTAAAAAATTATTTGACGTGTTATAAGCATCAGTGTGACTGACGCAATATGTTAGCGTTACTAATGGTCTATTATTAGATGCTCGATCTCAATTTCTGATTGGATTTTCTAAAAATAGATGCTAATTGTATCATTCGCAAAGTGACAAAACTGTTTGGATTTTTTTACGGACAAAAAGAAACATCCCAGTTAATATCCAACCTTGGTTAGCTTTTCTGATTATTAAAATCAGCCTGATTCAATTTAATGAGTGACTGTAACGCCCCATCTTATTTATTGTCTGTCACACTGTTTAGACCGAAAGTAATCGCCATAGCGCTCACAGGAAAGATCAGGACGCCAAATCACATCCTGCCGGGGGCCGCCCATGTAAAATTAAAATTCTCTTAAGTTGCTCAATAATGACCTTATTTTTAACATCATTGTTTCCAGATAAAGTTTTGTAAGTATTACTGTATCTAAATATTACAAACAACTTTTTTTTAAGTTGAATAGTGAAAACTATAAACTATTCTATTCTACATCATATAGAAGCAGATGTCACTGAAGGAAACTATTTATTTATGGCAAAAAAGTGCTAGAGTTCTTTTGTGTAAGATAAGCAGTCCAGGGTCAAAAGTCAGCTATAAAGTTGATGATAGAATAACAGTTAGAATACGGTAAGTCAAAGTTGCTTTAAATTCTGATGTAAGAACCTTTTTGTATTTAAAGTTGATTTTTTTTATTAAAACTTTTAAGGAACATTATAAAAAATGAATTTTTAAGGAATTTGATGTGGGTTGAATGCCTGGTCCCAACACTGTAGTAAAGACATTCATGTGTGACTTATTAAATAAGCCTAGAACTGATTTTCTGTGTACAAAAAAAAAAGTTGCTGTTTAAGATTTTGGCTACATGTTATTTTTCATGAATTGTTCGTTATATATAATACAGTTACCTACTGCAGTGTTTTTGTGGGGCTATGGATGTAAACACTTCACCCAACATTGCTCCTGCTCCTCATGTCAAGGGTTTGTAATTTTTATTTAACTATATTCATAATCAATTTAAAATAACCTGATATTTTAATTCAGTAATTAATGACTGAGAACTGGTCTAAAAGCAGATAATAGAACAATTGCTGATATTCTCTTTTTTACCATACAGGTATGAAAGTTCTTAATAAAGAAGTATTTGCCACAAAGGTGTCTATTCCTGGAATTAAAGTACCCAAACTGGAAATTAGCTCATCACAAAAGACATGGAAGCCTCTGCTGTTTAAAATGAGGGGGGTAAAGCCAATTGGTGAGCTGGGAGACAGAGACCCTCAGAAAGACACACATTCACTTGTACTTCTGGACCCTGAAAAATTAAAAGCAGACTGCCTTACTGTAGCTCAAAAAGAAGCCTTGCAGTCATTTGGGCTTGATTTTTCTGATGTTAAAACATATGAGGTATTTGGATTTTGCCTTATGACAATTGTTGTTTAAACAGTTTGCTTGCCATATCACACTTATGATTTTTTAAACTGCTTCTTTCTTATAATATTTACCTCCTAAAATCATTGATACTATATTTTTAGTTGCCTGACATTTCAATAACAATCTAGTCATGTATTATTATACTATTATTTCTACAATAGTTATTTAAGTAAGAGAATTTTAATTAAGAATGACAATGTTTTTAAGTAATACATAATTGTTTGCCAATTAAAATCTCAGATAGAACTGCATTATGACAATTGGTCCTCATCAGACATATTTAGGGCAGTTCTCCCCAGTGATGCTGATAATGTCACATCATTCACTCAAATAGGTCACATAGCTCATCTTAACCTTAAACCTGAGACCGAACCATACAAGTTTCTCATAGGTAAAAATCATCTTTTATCTCTTAAATCTTTAATGAATAAAATAAAAATGACTTTCATCAATTTTTCTTTGTAATTCACCCAAACCTCATATATGCCATTTTTAAACAAGGTCTTTTATATTTATCCATATTTCACTTACCAGGAGAAGTTTTACTGGATAAAGTGTCATCAGTTAAAACAGTGGTCAACAAGCTGGGAACAATTGATAACACATACAGGAATTTTCAGATGGAGTTATTGGCAGGAGAGGAGAATTATGTTACACAAACCAAGGAGCACAACTGTACTTTTGAGTTGGACTTTTCTAAAGTATATTGGAACTCAAGATTGGGTAAGCCATCATATTAAAATTTTTACATTTTTGCTCACTAGTACTACTAGTATCAAAATTCTGTCAGTTATCACATGCAATATTTAAAAGTTACATTCAGTAGAGTTATGATTGGTTTTATAGGATCCAACAGGAAATATGATTTCTATATTGGTATCAATGGAGGCTTACAACTATGCAGTGGTCGAGAGATCAAGTGTTTGAATATATGATGGGCCGCTTTGCTTTTTTGCCTGCCTCACAATAGACAATCATCCTTTGTGTCTGTAGATAATACTGAGCTGACTAAGCACATATCAGTACCTGGCACTAGGGGGGGGGGGGGGGTGGGGGGCTTTAAGTTGACTACAAACACATAGCTGAACTGTACTCTATCTACTACTTCAATTCTCAATTTGTTTTGTGGATATCATATAACAAGGATAACATTTTTTAAAGTAAACTTTTGCTTATCCACTCTTGTTCACAGCCACAGAACATCAAAGAATTGTTGAAGAAATAGAAAAAAACTCAACCGTCTATGACGTCTTTGCTGGCATTGGTCCATTTTCTGTGCCACTTGCTAAAAAGAAAAACTGCACTGTCTATGCCAATGATCTCAACCCACATTCATTTGAGTATTTAAACAAAAATATGAAATTAAACAAAGTCAATTTAAACAGAGTGAAAACTTTTAACTTGGATGGAAGAGATTTCATTCAGACAATTGTGAAGCAGGACCTAGTCAAGCAGATAGAAGAACAGTACAAACTGGACTCAAGTAAAGCCAGCGGAACCTGTGACGTTGGCGCTGCTGAGTTGGAGCTGGAAAGCAGTGATCAAATCACCACTGCAGTGAAGCCGCCTTCATATGTTGTCATGAATTTGCCAGCCATAGCTCTTGATTTTCTCAGTGAGTTCAATGGACTCCTGAAAGATTTGCCGTCACATTTAAAATTAACTGAACTCATTGAAAAAGTTCTGCCAGTTGTATTTTGTTACACATTTTCACCTAAAACTGATATGGAGACTGAGTTGAGAGTTCGAACTGAATCTTCTATTGGCCAACCCCTACCTTTGACATTTAAATCTAGAATTGTGAGGAATGTTGCACCAAACAAAGAGATGGTTTGTGTTTGCTTCAAGTTATGGCCAAGTCTAGTTTTGGGTGAACAACAGTTAAAATCTGATGAAATTGGTGACAGTAAAAGTGGTAGGTTACTTACTATGGGTGAATGATATTTTAAGTATATAAGAAAACGATATGATGGTGGTTTTTATTCAGAGATAAATTAGAGTTTAACTATTACTTTTTAATTAACAACTAAATATTTCTATTTACTGCATTTTAAAACAGCTTTTTTTTTTTCAGAATATGAACCAGAAAGCAAAAAGCAGAAAATAATATAAAAATAAAGTTTTTATCTTATAAAATAAAACTTAAAATTTCATTCTTTTAATTTTAAATTTAATGACCCAAACATAGGGTTTCCTTTGGGGAAGGGGGCAGAGGAGAAAGTAACACATCAGGTTTATTGCTTAAGAGACTGGCCCTGAGATAAAATACACATTCGTTGTATAACGCTGATGTTTATACTTGGAGCCAACTGAAGGAGGGATCGGAAATGTACAAAACAACTGCATACACTGAAAAACCACTGCGCATAACTGCCTACACTGAAAACCACAAAATCTTTTTTTACCTACCATGATATTATAAGTGAAGATAACTATTTGAGGTTATAATCAAGTTCTTAAAATATCTCATAATTTGGGAGTAAACCAGTTATATATAGACCTGCTCAAATACTCATTAACAAACTCCACAGGTACCAAACACATCAGACTGTTTTTTAAGTGGCACATAATTAATTGGCCCTGATGGGTAAGAGCTGCAAAAAAAAAAAACTTAAGTTAAAGGGGGAGGGGGAGAATGTAACCTTAACAACAGACCATATCAACTGAAAAAGAAAAACACAAGACAAAGCAGTAACTAAAGTTTAAAAAGTTGTCTATACAAGTACCCAGCAATTGTGATGTCGCCAGTATGGTCAAGTGATATCTTATATGAGCATTTGGTCAGCCTAGGTCAGGGGTCGGCAACCTGCGGCTCTTTTGATATCAAGATGCGGCTTTCCAGCTCCTTGAACAAATACTAATAATTTGAAATAAAAAAAAATGTTAGTGGCTCTTTAAAACCAGGGAAGTTTTGAAAATTGTAACTTTTGGCTCTTCCGCTTCAAAAGGTTCCCGACCCCTGGCCTAGGTATATGTTATGAGGTCACCCGTAAGGTTGTCGTAGCAATTGATGACGGCTGTGAGAAGTGATGAGTTTGTGTGATGAATTGTTAGGTTATGTTATTTGATTTACCAAAAATATAGAAAACATCGTCGTCGCCCCCCCCCCCCCCCGGAGAAAAAAGTCTGGAAGAAACACTTCAGATGGGGATAACCTACTCACGTCAACCATGGCCTCATGATGTATTTTGTCTCCTTAATTAAAACTATAATGCAGTGAGGTGCTTTCAAAAAAGTAGCAAGTGTTAATTTTGTTGGAAAGCTGCAAAACTTTAGGTTTGCGTGGGTAATAAGAAGAGCGTTCATTTTTTCAAATCGGGCACGCCAAAGTTACACACCGGACATAAACAATCTAGACAATAAAAACACATCACCCCTCCACCAATACACACATAAGCCCCAATTTAGGTTATTACTTTTTAATTAACATAAACAAGAGTAAAAATAAAATAAACAACAAAACGAGCATGTGGGAATGCATTCATGTATTATAAATAGATTTAGATCACTGTAACAGTAGACATTTTTAAAATTGAGATCGTGTTTCTAGGCCTGGCCTACCCTAAGAATGTTGCTCCTATTAAAACTTAGCACAACAGCTAATATTTTGGTACTGCTATCAATATAACTTTGGTTTACAATATTCTGAACATAATTATGTATTCTGCGTTTTTAAAGGCTGTTCTTGTAAATTGTAATAGTTCTAATAGAAACAGATTCGTATAGGCCTACTCAATGTTGACCGAGCTCAGAAAATATTTTAGAAAAAAAATCGATGTTTTAAAAAAAGAAAACTTTAATTTTTATATGAAGGGTTGAAGACTGAAGTGTGGCTTCATCTTGGGGGCGGGGATGTGGGAGGGGGGGGGGGATGAGGAGAGGAGTAAAAATCGTCAAAAAAGCGTGACGTCATATAACGATGACACAAGTGAGAACATTGTGGTCTGCCGATACAGTTGCCAAATTTTCGAAATATGTTGCTTCTTGATCGCGATGGAAAATATAAGATAATTCGCTTATCAGTCAGTCTGGGGTTCTGTCTTTTTCTGAGTACATTTTGCCCAATTTTGGTTTAGATGTAAAAATAATATTCCGGAAATTAACATTAACATATCTATCTAGATCTAGATCTATAGATCATGATACTGTGTTAGCTCTTTGATCAAATGCAAAATAATGTCATTCATTGACTGCCGAGTAGCATTCGGCATTCTTTTAGCATTTGTTCGTATTTCACATTTAAATTTATAATAACTAGGCTAATACTACAAAAAAAATATTTAGATCTATGTTTTGTTTGTCAAATTGAGCGATTTAGTCCCACCACATCAAGGACCGGTAACTCTAGTTAAAAAGTTGAATGAAATGCTCACAACTCACAAGATGACAGATATTTTAAAATTTCGTCGCAGAATCGCGACCAGAGATATCTAATCTAGATCTAGGCTAGATTTACTAGATTTCTAGTGGAGTCTAGATCTAGGTTTAGACTGTTAGTAAGTAAGTAGATCTAGATCTATTAGAAACTAATTTACTAATTTTTCAAATCAGTCACACGCACACAGTTGAGTGCTGTGACACCACACACTGACACTACCACCCCCGGTAAAACTCCATTTTAGCGTATTTTATTCTCCGCTTGTCGTTTACCTCCAGTTGAGCGTATTTTATTATAATAACCGAAACACACCAAAACATTAGTAAAACGCGAATTTAATATTTGTATTGTCACTATTGTATTGTTGTTTTTCATAAATGAATAAAAATGAATATTTAAATAAACACGACTTGTTTATTTGTATTACTATTAAATTAATGTATTGTATTTTTTTAAGGCATTTGTCTCATGGTGAAACTGATACACTGTTAATTAATAATTATTCTGTATGATATTTTTGTATTTAGTATTTATGCTATAAATGTACAAACTTTGTGTTTTTTAATTTGAAAATTTTGCCAAAACTGAAAAAAATATTTTACTATAGATCTAGAGTTGTATGTTATTGTTATTTAAATTCATAGTAAATCTACCATCCTTCCCAATATTTTGATATAGATCTATGTATCAAGTATGATTTTTTGTATGAGTAAATTTCTGACTTTTAAAAAAAAATAATGATGTGGGGTTGTCCATGAATGACGCCACACTCGTAGGGGAGAGGGGGGTCCGCAATTTTGTGACGGTAAGTGACGGAGGGTAGGGGGGGGGGGCAGAGGCGTAGCGACCCTTCCCGGGGACAAACTTTTCGATTTGCACCCCCCCCCCTCTCTACGCTACTGGAGGGGGTAGGTAAAAATCGTTTTTAAAAAGCGTGACGTCATTTATGGATGATCCCTATAATAAATTTGTAAATTTGTATTATTTAGCTGTTCGTTTTTCTATTTAAATTCATGCATCACGATTGCATTTTTTTACAATATTAGTTATATTAGTCTATTTCTGTACAGCCTTAAAAATACGAAATAACGTATGAAATTTAGTGTCTAACACATTTTTTAAAAATGGTAACGTGAGTTGTCACACTTTCTCTAACACTCCAAGCCATCCCTCACCAAATTCCACCACCCCTCCCCCACTTTCGGCAGCATTATTAGGGGTCATCCATAAATGACGTCACGCTTTTTTGACGATTTTTACCTCCCCCTCCCCTCCGTCACACGTCGTCACAAAAACCCTGACACCCCTCCCTAAAATAACGTCACACCTCAGCCTCTGTCAAAATAGAGTATTTTAATCAACTCCTATTACAATTTTTTAAAACAGTTTTCTAAAACGCGAAATAACGTCTTGAATTTGCTTTCTAACATTGCTTTTTTATAATGCAAAAGTGTGACGTCGCACCATCTGAACCCCCCTCCCCCTCATCACATACCTTCACAAAATTACGGACCCCCCCTACAGTGTGACGTAATTTATGGACGACCCCTTTTACCTTTTAATACTTTTATTCTGTTAGTTGAAATTGGAACACTTATATTGTACAAAGTGTGCATCTCTATTTTTGCAACCAACAAACAAAGCATTTCAGTCAGTCTCTTTGTTGTTTTTATTCATTTGTTAAAACAAAAATACAAAACAAATAAATAAGTCGTGTTTTTTGAATATTCATTTTTATTCATTTATGAAAAACAACAATACAATACAAATATTAAATTTGTTTTCCTAATGTTTTGGTGTGTTTCGGTTATTATAATAAAATACGCTCAACAGGAGGTAAACAAGCAACGGAGAATAAAATACGCTAAAATGGAGTTTTACCACCACTAAAGATTAGCGATGTTTTCATCAGATGCAACCAAGCTCATTTACTTTAGAAGCCATCTTGTTTAAGTTTTTTGATAACATTTTAGCTAGAGATTCAGGGGAAACAAATCTTATTTACAGATGGCCGCTGTTTATATAGCCAATCTTGCTAGCAAACAAGGCTGTTTAAAGTCAATTTCAAGTCAATTTCTGGCCTTTATTGATATATTTAGACATTGCTTTTGGTTTATTATTCAATTATCTATTATATTTGACACAAAAATATAATAATTTACTTGTATTAAAGCCATATTAATGAGCCACCTTTCTCGCACATTACTAGCCTCGGCCGATTTTTACTTACCTAAAACTAAAGATTACCAAAAAAATTTATGCTGGTCTGTTTTTTTTTTTGCCACTTGACTAAAAAAACTTTTAAAAAGTAAACTCCCTAGATCTAGAATAGATCTAGATCAAGCTCACAATCTAATGAATGCTAGTCTTTAGGCCCTACACTTTATTTTTTATTTATTTTTTTTATTTTAGTTTTAGTTAACTAATTACACTTATTCAATATTTATTATTGTAGGGCCTTTTTTTTTAAATAATAATTTTATGTCCAGATGAGTACAGTCAATGAACTCAGACCCCAGTGAACTGTGATTAGAATTTTAGTAATATTTAGTAATTAGGTCCTACTGATTGGGCCTACATTTAATATTTACTAGATCTAGTTTTACCTTTCATTAACATCCTAGTTCTAGCCCACCACTTCCATTTTAGTTAGTTTTATCATACGTTACTACTAACATAGGAATTCTTCCTAAGCTACTCATTGTTTTTCAATTCATTAGCTAAGTGGCTAGTTGACATAAGTAAGTGTAGCTAGACTATACAAAATGATCAAATATTTCACTATTGGTCGGGTATTAATAAAGGCTAAATGTGTTTTTTTTCTCTTAATTTTTCAGATTGGCTTATTATTAGTTTTATAACTACTACTGTCAAAAATGAAAAGATCAAAAAGAAATCTCATGATAAAATAGTTATTGTGATTTCTCTCAAGAGTAAGAATATGTCCTTTAGAATAGTTAAGCATGGCACATCCTCAGCCTTTGATCAGCGAGAAACATGTCTATTTAGTAAACAACAAAAATATTAAACCTAAAGCCGTTGGGAAAGCAATTACATTAGTAATACCTAGGTGGTTGTACTGCTATTTACCTCTTATATTTGCTGCTGTTTCAATATTTGCCTCATGGGCCATAACTACAAGAAGCAAATACTTACTGGAACAGACTTTGGAAGAAAAAGTAGGTTTACTTGGCTGGAAAGCAGTTGACCTTTTTTTGACTTATGACAAAGATGGTGATCTTCAACTCAGCTTAGATGAAGCAGCTCAGCTTTTGCTACTGGTCTCTGGACAGGTAAGTCATTCATTAATTAAAATACCTTTTTATGTTATTTCCATAATTTATTTTTACTTTAACATCATGTTGTATTATTATGAAGCTAAGTTTAAACAATCTTTCAGCATAAATATTTGTTCTGCTTGTTGTAAAATAAAATAAACCGGGAGTGATCTCCCCTAAACTTTCTCGAATATTTTTATATAAAATAACAGGGGATGGGAACTCGGGCTATAGACATGATTTTTAATCCATTTTAAATACTTAAAGTTTTAAAAATAGAATAAAATCTCGTAGACAAATTAATTGCACACCAAGTGAACGCGAAATAAAAAAGCGCATAATAGTGCGCAATATTATTAGTACTTTTAAAATTTACATTAGTTTTTTGAGAAATCGGAAGTAGCGTAAATTACTACTTCCGGTCAACGGAAATTACTCAAAATTTAACAGAAGGTAGAGAATTAGATCTTTTACTTACATGTGAAATTTCATTTATCTATCTGAAATAGTACTCAAGTTATAGGCTTTTGAAAAATTCAAAGTAGAAAAAGTACCACTTCCGGTTGTCGGAAATCGCTCAAAAGTTGATACGGATCTACGATTTTGATATAATACTTATTTATGAAATTTCATCAACCTAGCTGTAACGGTACTCAAGTTATCGTGTTTACACACGGACACACACACAGACACACACACACAGACATATGGACAAGATTGCAAAATTATGTTTTTCCGTATCAGTGAGGTGTAAAACGTCGAGATTTGTAAAAATCTCGATTTTTTTTTTTTGCACGATTACAATACTTTCTCTATACTACGTATATACGAGAAAGTAAAAATGTAAAATGTCAAGGTTTAAAAAAACACATTTTTAAAACAGGATAATGAGACAGAAACTGCAGATGTACTTCCTGATGAAGATTTTGTTACAATTCAAGCTCGTTTTATTCCACTAAATATTTCTACAATGACTCGCAATTGGGATCCTGTTTTAGTGAGTACTAAACTTTTAACGCAATTAAAGTTTTTCATTTTGTAGAAATAACCATGACAGTAAGAAATTTTTTATTTGTAGTAATAAGTTATTTACCTTTTTTTCTACAAGGGTGTTGCCAATGATTCTTTTAGTGGACTTTTTAGTTGGCTGTCTCCTGCATTTACAGTTAAAGAGTTTGGAGTTTCCAAGTTTTTAGATTTATTGCCTCTTGACCTCAAAAATTTACCTCCACCAGGTAGGCAAGTTCCTATTATTTCAAAAATACTTGTAAATTATTCCTTTTTTATTTTCATTCAATGCTTTTTAAAAAAATTATTGTCATAGTTGTTTCTATTTATTTCCTTTAGGTACTGTATACACCATAACCCCCGTTAAAACTTCAAATTATCTGGAACCACAAATGCCTAGTAACCGTTACTACCCACCACGTGTAAAAGATCGAGGTCTGTTTGTGCATCGGTTGCTTTCAATGTTCCATCCCCGTCCATTTTTAATCATGCGATCAGATCCTCAAGGAATAGTTGGCTGTGTAAGGGCTTACAATGAGAAATTTATTGAAGTTTTTTTCAGGTAATTGGGCCTAGTTGTGAATAGATTCACCACATTTTCTGGCATAAAAGGCGTCTTATTAACCTGGAATTTATTAATAAATATATGCCAGGTATCTTTAATATATTTAAAATAGTATATTTTAACTAGAAAAAAATTGGGGCTTTGTCTTTTACACCAGAAAATATGGTATATTTAAATTTGGTATTAAAACAAGTTATTTAAAATTTCTGTTGCATTCTTAAAAGTAACAAAAAGTTTGTATAAACATTATATAATACTTGGCTTTGATCAGAACATTACACTTTTTATCTCAAGAATGCATGTAGAGTTCCAGTTAAATGAACCACCTCTGCTTCCTTTTTGGTTCACTCCATCACAGTTCAGCGGTCGACTTCATGTTGCTAGAGATTTATCAAGTGTCAAGTACTTTGATTTGTATGTGCCGAACAATAGAAGGCTGAATGTTGGTAAGTTATTTACCCAACTCTTACATTTCATCATTATCATCATCAATCCTGTGAATCCCTTGTGGAGCATTGGGAAGCAACCACATCTCTCCATCGTACTTAGTCCTAGGCGATTCTTCCAAGCAGGGTCTGAGACATTCCGGCTGCTTCACTGACAGCTGATTACATTTCAAACCATCCTGATATTTGGTGCTTGATTTATTTTTATTCCCCTGTTGTTGGTTGTTAGCAAATAGTCAGATAATGTAATATACAATATATATGCAATTGTTGTCTTTTATTCTCAGACATGGAGTGGTTGACAGACAAAGATGATCCAGAGAATATGGAAGTAGACATTGGCTACATGCCACTGATGGAGTTGAAGCTAGTCAATCCTGGCACTGAGGTACAAGCAAATAAATTAAGTTTTAAAAAACAAATTGTGTATTGAACTGGATTTGCGGTGCGTCAATTATATAGTTTTTTTTTATTATCAGGATTTTCAAGGCGGTACAGCTTTACCTCCAATAACTAAGTGGGATGCTGAAATATCTGAAGAAGAAGCAAATAAAGCTTTAGAATTAAGGATGTTCCCATTTAAGCAAGTAGGTCTAGTTAATGTACTATAGAAGCAATCATTAATGAGGCAATTTCAAATAATTTATTCTTTTATTGTAACATGATTGTTGCTAAACATTTATACCCTTTAAACTGAGTGATTGTCTGTTGAATCCTCAGATAAAATACTACAACCTGTCAGAAGTGGTTGACCAGGCACTATCAGAGAATAAACTTATGCATACAATATTGCTATGGGGAGCTCTGGATGATCAGAGCTGCTGAGGTTCAGCGCGGACCCTCAGGAGCACTGCTCTTCAGGATCCGCAGGTTATGAATTTGTTAGCAAAGCACTTTGTCAGCTCGTGGTCATTGAAAGTTGACATAGAAGTAAGTCAATTTACCTAGCTGGATTTAGTTTTATGATCAGCTTTCCTTTGTGTTCATCCTAATATCAACATTCCACTATGCTCATCCTATATCAGAATTCCATTGTGCTGATCCTAATAACAGAATTCCCCTATGTTTAGCCTGTGTTCTATAAAGTAGGAAGGCAACAGTTGTCTGAAAACACCTCAGTTTAATTTCCTCTGATGGGGTTACTCAACAAGATAATCATCTTTTACTGTATACAGTCAATAAAAAAATGTATGGATACATTTCATTTGACACTTTGATAACAAGTTTCCATTAACATACAACTAATTATGAGGCTTCTTGTAAGACTTCCTTTTACTGACGATCATCAATTAAACTTTAGTCCATCCTTCCACTTTGAGAAAAGAGAGGACTGACTCACTCTTTCATACTACTTCTAACAGGCTGTCACAAATATGTCACTCACTTTCCTACTGTTGTACTTAGCTATACTCTTACTTTCATATCATTTTGCATCCAACCCAAACATTCACAAATCATTCTCCACTATAATAGGTCCTCCATTTTAAATACTCTCAAACTCAAATACATACCCTACATACCATGAGAGCACACCGTAGGCTACTTGTCCTAGTATCAGCTGTCCAATGTTTGTTTTAGTATAAAATTTTCTCTAACGACTCTAATGCTCATGTAGTCATCTTAGTATCAGTATTTTACTATTCTAGTTAAATATAGCCTCATCATATTGATAATTATTTTGTCTTTAGCTAAATAAATTTTTTAATCCACAGGCATATGCTGCAGATGTGTCGCTCCCTTATTCTTCACTAGCTGCATCTTTTTTAAAGCTGTATGAATTTCCTGTAACTATAATAATAGCGCATAGTAATGGATCAATTGTACACATGGCTAATGCCAATGACTTGCTTGCTGTTGGTTCAAATATTGGTGACACTATGTAAGTGCTATTGTAACTGTAAACCTTGAAATAATAGTAAACTATAATTACTTATTTGAATGTTTATTGCTAAATAAAATAGATTTGAAATTTTTGATTGATTAATCCAATGTGAGAAATAATAACTATTGAATAACATTTTTTGTAATGAGCCCAACAGTCCATACTAATATTATTATATGTAAGGTTAAAAATTAGTCCTTTTGCTTTAACATTAAGAGTTTAAAACAGTGAACATATGATGCCCTGGCAATAATTTGACTATTTTAAATTTCATCAAGTTTAAGATCTTTGTTTTTATTTCATAAAGTCACTAGTGGGCACAATTGTAAAAAAAAAAGCATTCAATCAATTTCAGATTAACTAACAGCATAACCAATAATTCCACAGTGTAGTTTATGAAAGATACAAGTTAACAAAACATGTCTTAATGCTTAGTGTATTAATTAAAAGTGCTCTTGTATTTATAATCTGCTTTACTCTTTAGTCTTTCAGATCCCTTTCCTTACAATTATCTTCAGTTTCTGAAAGAAGGCATCAAGCTAGCCGAGAAGATCTCATAAATTGATTTGATCCAAGTCTCAAGAAAAGTAAATTCTAATTTCATGCCCACCTTGAATTAAATTAAAACATAAGTATTGTTTTATTTTTTTTTAAAAACAATATGCAACACATCCATATGTGATCATAACATAATTTGTCTTAAAGATTTTACTCTAAAGTTTAATAACATTTGTTAATTAGTTTTCAAAAGGGAGTATTTTTAGTCTGCCTCCAATTTGATGTTGGTGTAAAGGACATTATATGTAGAAAACTTTTACTTTTGTAAGATTTGTTTACAATTGTTAAATAGTTTCTAAACTTGTGAAGTGATACTCTTTATACATATCACAATTTTTACAACCCCAGAGATCTGATTTTACTTTCTATTTTAGTGAATGAATAGTTTGTCTTTCACAATAAAAAGTCATGTCAACATTCCATCTATATTGATTACCCTTTGTTATATAAACGGAGTAATTATTCTTGATGTACATTTAAAAACCAAATATTTGAGATTCTACTTAAACATAAATAATTGTGTCCATTTTATAATTTTCTTAACACTGCTCTTGTTATATCTACTTATTTCAAATCCAAGTTCTTAAGATTTTTGCATAATTCTACAAAATTTATTTTAAAATACTCATTTTTTGTGTACACGTAATTTCAAGAAATTGACTACAATATTACCAATTTTTTCTTAAACTGATTCAGAAGAGATCTGCTGTAAATGAGGCAGTTGAACAAAGCCAGTGATAAATTTAAATTAAATATTTATTAACAGATTCGACAGTAACTTTTATTCACAATTTTATCAAAGCGTGCAATCAAATGCATTCATTTAATAATAATCTGCATATATATTTAATTTAATTATATAGTATACAAATTATACAATTATTGTGCATGCTGCCATTATACTGCCATATAATACTGTTACTGATTACTATTGCCATTGTTATATTCATATTATCAATTTTACACCATTCTGCCCTATTTGATTTTATGTTAGCTTGTTATGTTGTATTTGGCTTTATGCCATAGAGCAATCTGTTGATGATGACAAAACTGTTAAAATGCATCTTGCATGTGGTTTTGTTTGAAGGCTTTGATGTGCCTATGACATTCAGACCCTTTTCTCATAACCTGCTAACATGGCCAACTTCTGTTTATTTTTGTTAATGTGAAACAGCAATTTTCCCAAAATTATGTATTACAGTATGATTGTATTGTCGTGTACTGTGATCCTTCAAGGCTAAAACATCTATCTCAATAGCTAACATTGTTACAATGTGAATGTTGTTTTATTGACTTATTGCAGTTATTAAAGACATGTTTGAGAAAATAAATTTTTGAACTTTCGACTCATTACATTTGCATATTCAACATAAAAAGTGCAGTTTGTTTTACATTTGTTACAGTATGATGATAAACTTAACCAAATACGTAAAAACTATTCACACTAAACATCTTTTATTCTTGACAAACTTTTGGCAGTGTTTGCTGTTAAGCATTTGTCACTGAGATCATTAACAATGATAAAAATTGTGTTTTTGCAAATTTTGTCTTAAACTTTAAAGCTGAAAAAAAAAAAAACAAACTTAAAGCTGAATAAATGCATGATGAAAGAAAACCAATAATTTGTTTTTAAAGGGTGAGAGCTGATAAGAATTGCTGATTCATCAAGTTAAGTAAGTAATACAGAAAACTTGAAGACTGAAATAGGCAAGCGTGGACTGTTATTCAGGAGATAAGCACTTCCCATTTTAGAAGAAATCTGACCTCTTGTCTTATAGAGCAAACTGATTTTTTAAAGTGAGGGCCCCCCCTTTTTTATTGACCATTTTTGTGATTAAATTATCGTCATAAGTGAGCAAGGCTATTTTATTTGCCGTTACCTTGCTTTTTTTTTTGGTATTTATGTTAAGAATGGTACATAATAAATAATAGAACCTAAATACAGTGTTAAACTGAATAAAAATAATACAGAAAGTACTCTTTTTGTTGGGACTCCTACCCTTACAATCACTTTTCTAAAATAAATACAATATTTATAAAAATGGGCTACATTAATAATTATCATTAAATTTTTAAATAAATTAATGTATTGAAAGAAGAGCACTGTGTGTAAGTAATGTTATTACAACTTATTTGCATCTGTTTATTTTGTGCCGGAGAAGTAGTCTATCTGTCATTTTGTTATCAGTAAACTTAGGTTATCAGATCAATCGGGGTTTTTTAATTATAATTTTTGTCTGAAATTTTATTTATTTTAATTATAAGCAAGACATCCTAACCATTTAGATTTGATACTAAAAGTAGTATAAAGAATGGTAATCCGACATTTAAAAAATAAAATAGTTATTAGATGATTATTTCCCTTTGATTTCTTAAAAATAATAATCTGCTTGATAGCAACTCAATGAATATTCTGTTTCCGGTTAATAATAGAGATGGCCGATCCACAAGAAAAATATCAGAAACTCGCATTAGAATATGCAAAGGTAGAAAAGATTGGATTTGACATTTATTTAATATCATAAGAAAACTTTAATAAAAGATTTTCTCATACATTTAATACTCCTAATAAGTATTTTTAGATCTATTACCGGCTCATGAATTGTTTAAAGATAAATAAAAATATTTAGAATCTTTTTTATTTGTTTTGTATCTTCTGGTGACTGAGCGCTCAGACGAACGATCGACTGTTGTATAAATGATTGAACATTATTTTTACTTTTTCTGTATCATAATTATAAACATTATAGGCATCAATATAGATATATCTAGATCTAATTTGTGTTTTGATTTTGTCTGAAAATTGTTTTTGATTTTGACACTTTTGTTGTTTGTGAGTTGGCCAAAAAAATTAAAAACAATACTGAATGAGAAACCCCGCCCACTGCCGACTGCTACTTATAAAATTCTATTGTACGACAATCATGAAACGTTTTGTTTTAATATAAGCTCAAGACTATATCTTATTTAATGACAGCAAATAAACTTAGGTTCAGATTTAAATATAATTTATTTAAAAAAAAAAAAACAGAACAAATTAGATTAGATCTAGATCTATTCTAGATCTAGATCTAGACTAGTAGGCCTAATAATTATAATTTTTATAATCTTAAAACTTTAACTCACAAAAAGTTACTCTACAATACAAATAATAGCAAAACATTAGGTCTAAACAAATTTTAAATAGGAAATATTTACTAAATAAGTAAGCCTTCACTGCTTATAATATATATATATCTTATTATATACATACACAAAGGCCTATGATATCTATAATATAACGCTGCTGGTAGTGTGTCAGTCCTTCCTTCCGTCATCGCTATAGATTTTGGAACCATAAAAGTAAACATTCGCACCATGCTGTGCTTTTCAGTGCACCGCAGTGTCTTATTATAAGTATTAGAGTAGGGTTTGTTTATATAGCGGCATAGAGCTATTTTATAATAGCCACTGTGTTTACTCTTTTGCATAACTTAAAGAAAATATTAAATACACGCACATTGCTAAAACATATTAAAAGGATCAATGTCAAATATCATTTTCGTTTATATTCCTAGAAAAAGTGGATACATTTTAATAACATAATAACAGTACGGTAGAAAAATCAAATTAATTTAACTCTTTTCTAATTTTGACAAAGGAGGTAATTTAAAAATACATTTAAACTCACGCTAATAAAAAATGTGAATGCAAATATACGTTCGTCATAGAAGGAATTAGTGTTGCAATAATATAATTAGCAAAATGTTAATGCAAATTATTCGGATGTGTAAGAGGAAATTATTGTTAGAAAATTATAATTAGCATGGATTGATAAAAGGCAATCTTTTATGTATTTTATTCACTGAATGTAGGCCCTACTGTTTATTACTTATAATTTTTAATCAACTATTCAGCACTATTATAGACGCGTCATCACGTTCATTAGGTGCGCAATGGTTTTAGTTATGAAACTCTATTGTAAATTTTTAAAATTTAAAGTACTGGAAAAAAATGCGTGAATCGATAAAGTGAAATATTGTATATATTATAGATACTGCCTATTATTTATACTGTTTTCTAATTATTATTCTATCTTTCGGGTTTTATAGGAGAGGCGTAGCGAGGGGGGGGGGGGGGCATATGTCCCCGGGTGCCGACCTTGGGGGGCGCCAAAGTGGGTTGTAAAAAATTTGCGAGGGGGGGGGGGTGGTGGAAATCGAAGGTTTTAGGGCGGGGGGGGGGGGGGGGGGGGGGAAGGGGTGCAAATCGAAAGTTTGAGGGGGGTGCAAATCACCGGAAAGGGCGCGATTTGGCGCTACGGGCTAGACTGTGAGCAATATGCCTTTATGATTGCATTTAAATTGTGTTTATGTTATGAGTGTTGTGTTTGTTTTTTCGTTGTTGTTTTTTTTTTTTGCGTTCGTTTGTGTTGTGTTTAGTTTTGTTCTGTTCCCAAGTTGGTAGATTTAAAAAAGATTTACCGTGGCGGAGCACGGGATGCAGCTGGTCTATAATATAAGCGGGCTGAGCGTGTGTCAGTCCTTCCTTCCTTCCTTCCTTCTGTCATCGCTATAGCTTTTGGAACCATAAAAGTAAACATTCGCACCATGCTGTGCTTTTCAGTGCACCGCAGTGTCTTATTATAAGTAATAGAGTAGGGTTTGTTTATATAACGGCATAGAGCTATTTTATAAATGCCACTGTGTTTACTTTTTTGCATAACGTTATGAAAATATTAAATATTCGCACATTGCTAAAACATATTAAAAAAATCAATGTCAAATATCATTTTAGTTTATATTCCTAGAAAAAATGGATACATTTCCATAAAAGTAGGTCGAAAAAACTAATTAATTCAACTTTTTTTGGTGTGGTAATTTTTTCAAGGGAGGTAATTTGAAAATCTATTTAACTCAACAATAATTTAAGTTAATCTTTTTTTTATTACTACCGCATTGATTAGTCTATGTTAAGGTTCATAATTAAAAGAGAAAAATGTTAAGATTATTTATATTATTTTCTAATTAGTCTATGATTTCTCAAAATCACTATTTTTTGTTTTTGTTTTTTGGTGTTAACAGATGGTGAAATTTTATAATTATAGTATAGAGAATGCTGGAAAGACTCTCTCTAGGCGCGGACGCCTGGGAAAAGCGTGTTTTTCGGTGGTAATTCTAATTACATTGCCAATGTGTTTTCTTAGAACCATAAAAGTAAACACCACTTGCCGTACATTCATTTGCATTGCATTGTTTTATTATAAGTTATTGAGTAGGATCTATTTATGTGACTTAAATTTTTAATGTCGGAAAGGCTCTCTTTGGGCGCGGACGCCTAAAAAAGCGTGTTGTTTGGTGGTGATTCTAATGTTGTGGTTGTGTTGTTTTTTTTTTTTTGGTTGTGTTGTGGTTGTGTTGTGGTTGTTTTTTGGTTGTGTTGTGGTTGTTTTTTGGTTGTGTTGTGGTTGATTTTTGGTTGTGTTGTGGTTGTGTTGTGGTTGTGTTTTTGTTGTGGTTGTGTTGTGGTTGTGGTTGTGTTGTAGTTGTGGTTGTGTTTTGTTTGTGGTTGTGGTTGTGTTGTGGTTATGTTGTGGTTTTGTTGTGGTTGTGTTGTGGTTGTTTTTTGGTTGTGTTGTGGTTGTGTTGTGGCTGTGTTAAAGTTGTGGTTGTGTTGTGGTTGTGTTGTGGTTGTGGTTGTGTTTTTTGTGTTTGTGTTGTTTTTGTTTGTTTTGTTCTGTTCCAAAGTTGGTACATTTAAAAAAGATTTACCGTGGCGGAGCACGGGATGCAGCTAGTTATATATATGGCCTTGATGACAATAAATGTAATAGGCCCACAGTACAGTTTTGCTTATTCCATTTAGGGACAGCACTTATATAAATATATATAACAGAAAGGACAATTTTTACCTTATCCACATGTATTCTATACAAAAAGATGGATTTTCTTGTTCGATTTAGATTTGGGGTTTACTATATATTTATAAGAAATCACCCCCTGCTTCCCATCCATATTATACACACCTTAAAATAAACAAAATAAGACTGATTTTGAGGAAACACACATTTCTCTATTTGCAGTTGAAAGCTCAAATTCCTGTTCTTAAAAAAGCCTACTTGGATGAGCAAGGAGAAGTGAACCAATTAAAAGAAATATTGAAAGAGCGAGACCAGTCTGTGAGGAAATATGAACAAGAAGTTGACAGTTTGACCTTTCGCAATCAGCAGCTTTCAAAGAGAGTTATCATTCTTCAGGAAGAATTAGAAACATCAGAAGCTAATAGCAAAAAGAAACATAAGGCAGTTATCCATTATTTTGCATGATAAATATAATTTGGTTAAACATTATTTGAAATATAATTTTAATGATGAATTAAAATTTGATTTTAAAAAAATATTGTAATTTTCTAAAGGTGTAATCAAAATGAAAAAATTCAAGTGACTTAAATTATCTTTCCAAATATTTGAATTAAATAAATAGAGCTTGTTCACTAATTAGAAATACGTATATTCTTTAAAAAAAAAAATCAGATTTGCATCTTTTTTTTAAGTAGCTATAATGATTAGAAAATATAAGTAGCATATAAATTTTTAAAAATTTAATTTGCAGAATAAGTCTGAGCCATCAACACCTGATGGTGGATCCCGGAACGGTGGAGTAAATGTTTTTAATGAGGAGCTACAAAACAAGATTGAGGAAAATGCTCTGTTGCACAAACAATTACAAGAACTCTCTGCTCAGTTTGATATTCATGTTAGAGAACTTCAGGTATCTACTGTTTGTAATGATAATCTTTCTTTTATTTTAAACATAAGCATAAACCAGATATGATTTAAGGAATTTTCAATGTTGGACGATTGAACACATTAACATACACGTTGAATATTTTTTAATATTATTTTTTTAAATATACCAATTCAAAGGCACAGTTAAAGGAAGCTGAAAATTCTAGAGGACAACATGAAGAAGTGCTCAGTTCTGCTCAAAAGAGATCCAAGGAAATGGTTGATAGGTTGCAAGAAGAGAAAGCTATGTTGGAAGTAATAAAACTATTATTGATATTCTTCTGCAAATTTTATACTCACTTTAGTTTCTTTTGAACATAAAATAGATTCATGTTATTTTTCAACCTTTCAAAGGTATAGTTTTTATTAGATTTATCTTCTGATATTCTAGATCACTGTAAAACTCTTATTTGTGTTCTCTTTTTGTCATTGAAATAAAAATAGGTCAAGATTCAAACAATGGAGAATGAACTAAAAGAATTTCGAGGAAGATGTGACTTTGCGTAAGTGTGTTAAATTGTGTAACAAGGTTAAGACCAATCTAGTCTTGAATTTTTTTAACCCTTCTTTGTGCTCAGGATTTTAAGAAAAGAAAGTAAAATGTGAGTAGTAATTAATAACATTCTGTTTTCTTTTCAGAGAGCAAAATCTTCTTCTTGTTGAAAAAAGCTTACAAAGTCGTCTCAGTGAAGCTACAAAAATAATTGAAGAAAAACTACCATTTATTGACACAAGTGAGTTTAAGGTTATTGCTTGATTATCTTTTGAAATTCATTTTATCTCTACATTTTTATTGTAATACATTTTATGTAATAAATATTGTACCATTATTATTTGTCTCTTTCTATAGAGTTAAAGGAGGTGAATGGTTTAAATGTTCCAACCCATGACAGAAGACATCAACTGCGGGCAAAAGAATTGATTACTCAAGGGGCAAATCTTGTAGGGGAGTTAACTCTAGGCCTATCCAATTTCTTTACTTACAGTGAACAAAGGTCAAAAATTTACCCAGCTGATGGCATCACTGAACCTCTCAGTCCCTTAAATATTAAGGTAGATGCTGAACCATTTCTACTAAACATTTTTACAAATACATAAATAGTCATATTTACATATTGTTAAATTACTTAAATTGATTTTCTGTGCACATTGTAATTTTTTTTTCAGTTTTGCAAGTATCTACATGAAAACATGCTATACCTAAAACCAGTGGAACAGTCGCTCAGAGGTTTTGTCAACAATTTAAAAGATGACTCACTCACAGTTCTAGTAAGTTAAAAACTCCATAATGTCATTTATCTAAATTAAAAGCCAGAGCTATTCTGGCAAAATTTTGATTCAGCAGTGTATACTGTGGTAGCTGGGTTTGAATAATTTATCATCATCATCTTTTCTTGTTCGTACCTAAAACACATGGGGCAGATGGAATACAGTTCCTTCTGTTTCAGTGACCTATGCATACCAGGCGATATTGTGGTCAACACTATGCCTTTGCTTCCCTAACATGAATCAGGTACCTATTATAGCTGGGTGGACTCAGGGACATCCTAGAGACTCAAGCCCAGGAGCTAAACTTGAGACTCGGGATAGCAGTCATGCACTCTATCAGCAATCCACGCGGTCCCCAATATTTCACTATGCTATTCTGAATTATTAGTCTCAGAAACAGCAATCCATAAATCAAATTTATAAAGAAATAAGTATACAATTGCAATTTAACATTTTTAAAATTAATTCTCCTTTTAAAAAAAAAATCAAATAATGATATGGAAGCATATAATGCTCATGGAATGGAATCGTTTTAAATATAGAGATGGTAACATTATTGATTCCACAAAAGTGACGTTGAAGTTTTAACCTTAAAGGCCTTACATTTTGCCTTTGTTTTTTCTTAAGTCTCAAATCCAATAAAACTTACGCATTTTACTTAAGGTTTTTATTTTTAGAAAGTGGCACTATTATTTTAATTGACTAGTTAATTTTCTTTTATTATGAAAATGGTGAGAAAAAAATGTTATTTACATTAAACTGACGTTTACTATATATTTCATTTAAGTTTGTAAAAAAATCTTTCAGAATAAATATTGTACATTTATAAAAGCATTCAATTGTCTTCAATTTTATTTGCGCATGTGTATATGGTAGCGCTGTTGGCAAAAATGGAAAATAATTTCTAACACATAAAAGTAGAGATTAAAAAAAAAACTATGCCTGAAATGGTTAACTTAATCTGTATCACCACTCTTCCCCTATGTAAGCTAATAAATTCTACATTAAATATGTATAATTCTTGGACAGCTATAGTTGTCATAAGATTTTTGAAATTGGTTTTTTTTCATAATTTTATCAGGAGACAGCATCAGAACTTCAACCTTTTTCCAACAGTTTTAAACACATGGTTGCTTATATGAACAAACTATTGCCATACTATATAGCAAGGTAATAAATTGAATCTTCTTCAAGTCTGGATTTTAAAATTGAAGTAAACTGTCATTAATTTGTTCTTTCCAATTAAATAAAAAATTGAAATAGGACAATTGAATGATGTAATAATTTATTTTTAACTCTTTTTCTAACTTTTATACAATATTTAAAAGTTTGGGATTGTTGTTGCAGCTTAGAAGAAGAAAATGCAGTTTCTTCATGTACGACTACACTCGCATCCAAAAATAGAGATTTGCTCCAATCTTTAAAGCGCCTCAATGCAGTATTTAACAAGATAAATACCTATGTTTTTTTACTTGCTATACAAAGTAAGCCCATTAACTTCATCATTATGACTTCATTAAAACTTAGCTTAAACTTGTCTAGAGAAGTAGTACTTTAATACAGGTTTGAAAATTAAAATTTTAAAATAACAATTAGGTTTCCTGTTCGGCTTCTTTTAGGTTTACAAGGACAAGGTCATCCACAAGCATCCCATGCTAAATTTTTTTCTGGAATATGTAAATCTCTCAATGATCTTCATGAAGCTGTTAAGGGTAGGTCCTTGTGATTTCTAAGTTTTTATGATATCCAGGTGTTTGTGAGGACTTGAGCAGAGCTGCTGGCTGAAAGAAAACTATCGCTGGACCCCTACTGGACTTACTTTAATCATTTTATAGTTTGTTTTATTTATAAATTATACAAAATTTATAGGCCCCTAAAATTAACTGTTTCACAGTCTACCTAACACTATAATTAGCTATTATGATTATCATTTTAGTCTGATTTGTGTATTGTAACTTGGTTGTCTGTTAAAGATTTCCATAATTTTTTAAATGTTGATACTAATAACTTCAAACTATTACACTAAAAGACAAATGTTGACCTCAAAACGCAATTGAAAAATATCTGCATGTTTGTTAAGTTGCAGTGATCAAACAAAACAATTAGTAATCTTAATAAATGTTATTGAATTTGATGTAATTTTATAGCTGCTTCTTGCAAGTTTTTTGCAATTTTCTTTTTTTGTATTGCAGAAGTATCAAAACATTATAACTCTAAGGTATCATTGGAACATCAGCTTCCAACAGCAACGAAGGAACTGAAGAGAACAGACGAATGTGTTGTAGCATCTCTTATATCTCTTGTAACTAATACTGGAAAGGTATTTGATTTGCCAATTTTAGAAGTTGTATCACATATTAGAATTAAGAATAATTCTAAAATAATTTGAAAGCTATTATAATTGTAGCTTAGAAGATATAATAATCATAGTTTAGAAGCTGATATGATCATAATTTAGTAACTGTTATTAAAATGTTATGTTAGTAGTTTTTTCTTGATCCCATTTCATAACACATGATTTGTTCTGTTATTAGGTAACTAAGACATTATTTATGTGCTCAAATGTACCATTGGTTTTTAAATGTCCATTTCAAAATAAAGTAAAACAGTTTTTACGGAACTAATTAATTAAATTTTTTCATCAGATGGCAGCTTTTATGTCGGGAAATTTAGAATTTTTCATCCAGCCAGCTGGTTACAGAACCAGAGGAAGTAGTATAAACTCAGAGGTCAGAGCAGAGGGACCAAGGTCACATCCTGCTGTCAACAGCTTCAGACAACGGGCAGCCCATTTTCTTGCATCAGTAACTAAGGTACATGTTTGTAACAGGGTTGTTCACTTGACTATTTCTTGTATTATAATTTGTAACATCTTGACCTAATTCCTTCCAGTCGCCTCAAGAAACTGTACCTTACTGTGCCGCAGTGCAAAACAGAAAGACTTTGTACAGTTCTGCAGAGAGCAAAGAGAGCTTAGCAAAACAGGTTTGTTATGTTAGCTAGAACAGCCACTCTATAGAGATTAGTTCTTATTTAAACTGTGCAAAGTTCTCAATATCAAAAGGGTGAGTTCATTTTATATTAGACATGTTGTCATTGAGTCTTCCCTCTTTACAGATTACAGTTTTCCAGCAAAAGCTCACTAAACTTGAACAAGAAAAAGAACATTATTTATTGGAATTACAACTGTTGAAGATCAAGTTTGAAAATGAACAAGTGGTTTGTTGAAAATTTGGTGTCTACTGCAATACAATATTTGCATTTAATACATTTTACAGTGGAAAATAATTTTTTGCACAGTTAAACTTTCTTTCCTCATACATTTTCTTTTTAATTTTACTTAAGAAAAAAATGATTATCAGTAGGCTTATATAATTTATATTAATATTTATACAAACAAGTTACCTTATTAAACATTTTTTAATCCTTTTATTATAATCATACATGAATAGAAAAAATCAGAATAATATTATCTACTTTTAGAAAACTAAACAGCTGGAAAAAGAAATTGACCTTGTTCGGGCGAGCTCTAGTGGGATCAGCAGTGTGACAGGCGCCAGCTCGTTAGAAGATCATATAGAAAAGTTGACTCTTCCATCTGACCTCAGCACTAGATCAGATTCTGTCAATAGTTCCTCTTATCTGGACACCAGCATGGTAGGCTGCACAAATCTTTGGCACAATTCTCATAACATTTTGTTTCTTTTTGTAAAGGGAGTTTATTATAAAAACTATACCAAATCAAAGCAGTGAAACAAATTGAAATAAATGAATGTATTTTTTTTTACTTGATGTACAGCTTGGCCAAGTGGAAACAACAGGTTCTGTTGTAAGAAATGACATAGACACCAGAGAACAGTTAATAATGAGTCACTACAATTCTAGGATCAATGAACTTACTCTCCAATTACAGCAAGCTGACAGCAAGGCTGTTAATTTCCATGCAGAGGTGACCATTTTGTTTTTTTGTTCTGTCTGTAAAAAAATGCTGTTTTTTCTCAGTTAATTGGAGACAAATGTCTTTAAAATCAACTTTTATCAATTATCTTAGGTTCGTGCCTTGCATAAACAATTAAAAATAGCTGAGAAAGCTAAAGAAATTGGACAAGAAGAATTGAGACTGGTCAATCAGAATTTAGCTCACCTCAAGGTAAGTTTTTTACCAACATTAAAGTGATAAATGAATTCTGTTTTCTAGTACTTAACCATGTTAAAAAAGCATAAACACAAACATCCCATCATGACCACCTTTTGTAGAAACTGAATGTTTTCTTTTTTACTGTAAACATTTATATTTAATTGATAATTTGAAAATGTTTACAAATTGTACAAACAGGATGAGCTACAGACAACAACTCGCAGTTATGAAGGCCAGCTAAGTATGATGAGTGAACATCTGGCAGGCATGAATGAAAAGCTTGCCCAACAAAAAGATGAAATTGATGAACTTAAGCAACAGCAAGCTCAAAAAGGATCATCATCTAAGGTAGAAAAAAAACTTTTTGTAATACATTTTTATCTAAGAGTTGTGATTAAGGAAAGCAAGTTTGAGTATTAATGTATGTTTTATTACAACTAAAATATGGGAACAATTTTGTAGTATTAATCATCCAACAGTAGAAAAAATCTGAAATATTTGAATTAATCATTTTGATCTCTTTTTGACTATAAAAGCTTAAAATTCCTCACAGGTTAGTTAATTAAGGATGGAATTGATCATGGGTAACTTGAGACTGAGTGGTTTAGTAATAGAACCCACACTTTCTAACCCAAGCAGTAAGTTAGTCTTTAGATGTTAGGCCATGCCCAGACGGCACTACCCCTTTATTCAACAGTCTTTAGATGTTAAGTCATGCCCAGGTGAATTGCCCCTATATTCTACACAGTCTTGAGATGATAGACCTTGCCCAGACTGAATTTCCCCTATATTCAACCAAGTGGTAAGATGCACCAAGTCATAAAGTAACCATGTAGAAACACAGTTCTGCTACCAGTGGCTGGCAACATGGGTGTGAGAAAACCTTCCATAAATAGATCTGTTTGAGTCCACCCTGGCATCAATGCTGTCCAACAGTTACAAAATGGTTGTTGCACACTTCACATCCCTGAAAGAAAACCTTTTGCAGTAGCTTAGCTTTCAAGGAAGTGACTGGTGTGAAGGATAAACTTTAACTGTACCCTTTAAACTTTGTGCAATAATGAAAAGACAACTCACCAGCTTATTTGTTGAATATTGTTAGTAATATGTTAGTATTATTCCACACACAAAATGATACTTTTATTTCTTTTGAAAGGAAATTTTAAGTTAACAAAGATGTAAATCCACCATCTCTATTAATTCTTTAGCAATCAGGTAATTAAACCAATACCTTTTTTCCTTACAGATATTGAAGAAATCAAAGAAATAATAATCGTCGCCAACATGCTCATGTCTTTGTTAGACAGTTGATAAAAATTGTTCACATTCATTATAATTATATCTTAACTTCAACTATGTGATGATGTTATGTATTTTTTGGTACAACTAAGTTGATTCTGGGTGTATAGAAAAAAGCCTACCATATTTAAAACCCATGTTTTCTCTCAAATTCGTGTTAAACACATTTTAGTTTTGGACATTGAATTTAGTGGTACCAAGTTTTTCATTTAAAAAGTTGACTCATTTAAAAATCATTTTTAGAGAAAGTGTAACTAAGTAATTAAAAAATGCTAATGTTTTTAAATGTAGTCAATTTAGTGATTTTGTTTATACATTGCTGTGCAATATGCTTTTAAAAACATGTATGAAATAAGTATTTAATTTGATGTACCAGTATCTCTTCCAGTGATTGAGATTAGAAGTAAATATTGGGAAATGCAATGTGGCATTACTGAAATTACTCACAATATTTATTAAAACCATAGCAAGAGGATGAGTAGATGTTACAAATTTAAAAGTTTATTTTCAATGTATTAAAATTGCATGTTAATGAATGTCTAACTAAAGCAATTCCAAATTATTGCATTTATTTCTCCTTTGTAAACTTAAACTTTTAAGATAGTTGCTTTTAGAAGTGAATAATCTATTAAAACTGGCTAATAGATTTTTACAATATTTCAACTATGTGTTTGATGATATTCATGTTTGATGTACAAACAGCTTTATTTAAATCTTTACAACTAGTAGGTGCCTATTTATCATTTTTGTGTATATTCCAGAGGAAAAAGCCTGTTGAGCAAATAATTACGTTGCATTGAAATTAAATGCTTTTTTAAAACTGTACTGTAAAGAAAAGAACATCAGTGGCTGTGAAATCAAGCATTATTAGCATACACTTATGTTGCTAATCGTAATCTTGTTGTTAATTGTAGTAGTGTAAATATGTAACTGTTTAGCCTACTATTTTTATAATGTTGAAGTTAATGGTATATACTAGAAAAATAAATCCAAATGTTTTAAGATGAATAGATTATGTTATGAATTATTAGAGCTTTGTGTTCAGTCTTGTTCCATCAAATCAATTTAAACTTTAAGTACAATTTGAGAACCATGTTTAGTATTGGTTGGATGACAATCTTTTCAAGTAGATAAGTTCTATCACATACTACTGTAGCAGCGTAGCTTAATATAAAAAAAAAACCCATTGATCCTTGTTAATGCAAACTTGATAACCAATAAAAATGTTTATGTTGAAACAAGAAATAAATTTACCAAAAGAATGTTTAAATTTGTTTTATACTTAATTTATATCTAACTTTCTTGAAGTGAATTCTAATCACGTACAAGCTGAAAGTTTACTTATTCTGGATGCTGTGGTAGAAAAATAATCTGTTATAAGAGTAAATAGAAGAGAGCATATCACCCAAAATGAACTAGAACTTAAAAACTTTTTTGTAGTGAATTCTAATCACGTACAAGCTGAAAGTTTACTTATTCTGGGTGCTGTGGTAGAAAAATCATCTGTTATAAGAGTAAATAGAAGAGAGCATATCACCCAAAACGAACTAGAACTTAAAAACTAACAAAATTATTTTATTTAATTGATTCATTAGATGAACATGGATATTTGTGAATATGTAGATTTAATTTTTACAATGTAGGTACATTTCAACAAACAAATACTATGAGCATGAAGGACAGTTATGACTTGTCTTTAACTGCTAACTGGGGTTCCACTTGCTTTAGTTGAGAGATATCATCTGACCTGTAAACACGAATATGGATGGCTGAGTTGTTTCTGATAGCAGTTTTCATGTCTCTGTCATCAGATTCTGGAATATAATCATCTACAAGGTCAACTGTGGATGTCTGAACACACACTTGTACTGTGCCTAGTCCTTTTGATTTCAGCTGCAGGGCCAAGTTAATGGCTCTATTGACAGCTTTACCTAAACCGTGAATTATAACTTCATTCCCAGAGTCCAGGAGCTTTTGGCATTTGTTCTCTTGAGCTTTGAAGTTAGTTTTATCTGATATGTAAACATCATTAGGCCTTTGAGGAAATCTGTGTAGTATAAACATAAAAATAATAATCATATTTTAAAATTGTTTAATAAATTTTAATTAAAAAATCAGGAAAAAAAATGCATTAAAAACCTTGGTGGTAAACGTTTTCTCAATGTGTATTCTTCTGAATCTGTGCTCGAGTTTGCCATTGTGCACTATAAAAAAATCTGAAAAATATTTTAAGTTTTGAGAAAGATGTGTAAGGTAAGTTAATCACTTTTATTTAGCACTGAATACATCAAGAACTTTCTTTAAATTGAAAAATGTAGTGATAAAAACCTAATTTTATTTTTAGGTTGAAATGAAACTAAACTGCTTTATTACTTGACAGTTGACATACACACAAAAAAAAACTGTATTCAAATGTAATTGAATGAATAGTGTGTAGAATCAAGGAACTACTTAACAGAAGTTGAAATTAAAAAGTAGGAACTCCACAACTAAACCAAGACTGGGTCAATTTTACCAAAATGTGTTACAGTTGTCCTGACATAGGTTTGTTGATGATAGGAAGACTATGGCCACACAGGTTGTTCACCAAAACACAGTGATTTAGAACATTAATGATGATTAATATTATAATAAACAATTTCCATTTGTAAATGCACATAGTAATTAGTAAGAGTTTAGTTAGACTTGTGAGGTTGTACATTAATAAAGATAAGGGAAGTGTAACTATTAGTTACACTTCAACTAAGTTAGAATCTAGTAACTTTTAAGTATTAACTACTCAGTCACAATAGTTATAGTGTCTTATTGACTAAACTAAAGTCTAAAACTTAAGCTAATAAAACAATTAATTAATTAATTGAGACTTAAGTCAGTAGGCCTACTACGTACTAGACTACTAGAGGTCTAGAAGATATATATTCTTAGCAGCTAGACCTAGAATATTCTACTTACTAGTAGTAGTACTATAGGTCCTACTAACTAATCTAGATCTGCCGCATTGGGCCTCCATTCATTAAAATTAAAAAATACTAGATCTAGATTACTTAAGATGTATAGTATTGTATAGGCATCCATACTTGTAGTAAGTAGCATTAGAACAAAGGGAGATAATTTTCATACAAAAACCTGCCTAGAGTTCTTGACTGATTTTTCAAATTTTGTTTTTACCACTGTCTCTTATTAATTTTAAATTAATATCATATTAATTTCCAATACACAAAGCAATCACTGAGGTTTAGCTACAACCTAGTGCAATTACTTTTCATTTTCTTTCATTTTTGCCTATAAAAAAATAATTTGAAAACAATATATGCTCTAAAACAACTTTATATTATATTAATATATAAACACTTGCCTGCACACTAAACTATTCAAAATGAGTTAAATAAACTACTTGTGGTTTTTATTTTAAAAAGAAATTGTGATTTAATTTTACAAATACATTTTTTATGAATTTTTTCAAGATTCAGACCTTTAATGGCCATGTTTTTAGCGCAATTTCCATTCTGGAGAATTGCGTTTATTAACCCGTCATTTCTGGATGTATGAATGTATGAATGAATGGATGGATGGATGTGTGTCCGCAGCTTTAAGTCGTATCTCCTCCGCAACGAAGCAATATCGAGGACTAGTTCCAAAAGCAATTATGTTAAGCAAGTTACGAGGATGAACATAGGCCAATAAAATTCCGGGTTTCTTTCATGGATTTCCCGGAAAAGCCAAAAAACCTCGAAAAAATGCAGTTTTTGGCTCATATCTCGGCAACCAGACCACTTAGCGACTTGAAACATGTACCAATCGATTTCTGCCATAATTTAGAACAATATTGCCGAAGAAAGTTTTCAAAAATATCCTTTCGTTCGGTCACAAAAAATTTTTTTGAATTAATTAAAATTTGGACCGAATTAGTAGGCATTTTTATCCAACCACACCACACGCGTCATCACGTTCAATAGCTGCGCCATCACGTTCAATGGCTGCGACATCACGTTCGGTAGCTAGGCGCGCAATGGTTTTTAGTCATGTAACTCTATTGTAAATAAAACATGTAAAATACTGAAAAAAAAATTAATAAAAAACGTTTTAATAACTAACCAATGGTTTTACTAACCCTGCTCTTGATTTACGCTACGACAGAGCTATTTTTAGATAACATAAGGAAATTGCGCTTAAATGTCACTAGACTTTTTAATTAACTTGTTTCCTATATAATTAGTCATAGTAAAAATGTACATTTTTTAAAATAAAGCATAACATCAAACAGAAACAAGCCTGCACAATTATTAATGCAAATTTACATAAAAGAACCACAGCTGTTTCATACTTTATCATTAGAATCCAAACAAATTTTGCAAACATATTTTATCAAGAATTTTTTCAAGATTCAGACCTTTATTGGCCATGTTGTTTTTTTCCTATATAATTAGTCATAGTAAAAATGTACATTTTTTAAAATAAAGCATACCATCAAACAGAAACAAGCCTGCACAATTATTAATGCAAATTTACATAAAAGAACCACAGCTGTTTCATACTTTATCATTAGAATCCAAAAAAATTTTGCAAACATATTTTATAAAATTTTCATTTTTGTTTCCCACTTAATTCATTTTTAACAGAGCTTATATATAAGACCATACATTTAAAATAGAAATAAAATTGGTAATCTATCCAGTGCCGGCGTTAGGGGGTGGCAAACGGGGCGGCCGCCCCAGGCCCCGCGCATGAAGGGGCCCCGCGCTTCAGCACCGCCATTGTTGTCTGAATTAGTTTGTAAATTTAAATAATCTTTGCTGTATTGAATTGAAAAAAAATGGCCGAAATTGTTGATTGTTATAAACTGAGGCCAAGGCTGATGTTAGTGAGTTATCCCCTACATGACCTGGGACAGACCGTCATTCGATACGAAGACTTAGTGTCACACCTCGCTTAGTGTCGACTCGCTTTTGACCTGAGGTGACTGGTGATGGCGGTTGCGAATTAGCCCCCGACCTGACATGGGAAGTAAAATCAGGAAAACACGTAATGAGATACCCCATTGTATTCTGACCGATGAAGTGAAAATGATTCTGACGAAAATAATTAATTCCCAATGATCGTAAGAGATATGTACGATCCAGGTAATTGGGAACATGTATCAACGATGTCCCAAGACAGGTTATGCGGCCTGTCGATTCTGTCAATAGAAAAAGACATTGCCTCCAATTTGGACTATGATGATATAATCAAGGAATTTTCTTCACGAAAGGCAAAAAAAGTAGATCTTCGTTTGTGAACGTACTAGTAAGATTTTCATAAATAAACATTAATGTAAAAGAATCAAGTTTGAAGCCGATGTTCATCGTCTCTTTAATGCGTGTCTCTAACTTATATCTGTTTTATTTTTTTTATTTTCCAAACAAAAAGCTTTTAACAGAAACAAGCACTTCTAAGTGAACACATTATTTGTTAATCAGTGTCTTAATGTTAATACGACATTGGTAAGCAGCTTAAAAATACCGTATATATCGTTATAAATATTAATTCGCGTTGAGAAGGAAAAAAACCGCCTCACTGTATATGTTTTAGACACCAATGGAAAAATATAACGCCCCGCGCGGATGGTTGGCCATAGGCCCCGCGTAACCCTAACGCCGGCTCTGAATCTATCGTTTTAGGGACGTAAAATCAACCGAGACTAGTAATGTGAAAAAAGGTGACTCCTTAAATTTTAGTACTTATTTCACATTTTTAGGAGGATTTATGTTTTAAAATTTACAAAAATGTTACAAAGTTTCATTTATGTAGACCCTGTTTTTAAACAATTGTATTAAAACTTTTCAGTAATAAATAAAGAATAGTGATAGTGATGTTTTCATCAGATGCAACCAAGCTCATTTACTTTACTTTAGGCAGTTTAAGCAGCTTAAGTTTTTTTGGTAAAATTATAGTGGGAGATTCAGGGGAAGCCACTCTATTTTACAGATGGCTGCTGTTTATGTAGCAAATCTTGCTCGCAAACACTTACACTGCTGTTTAGCAATTGATTTTTGTTTATTATTCAGTTATCTATTCTATAGGCCTAATATAATACTTGACACAAAATAGGCTTATATCACAATATAATATATAAGTTTCTATTAAAGCCATAAAAATGACAATGCATAAAAATTATTAGTAAGCCTATTTCAAATAACAGAATATTTATTTAATTTGAGAGGCCTACAATGAACAATGTAACAATACATCTACATTTAGATTCTCTAGATCTAATTTACTTTACAAAAATTAAAATAGTAAAATACTAAAAATACAGGATTACGCGTACACCACGGTAGGCCTATTTATTTATTTAATCTTAAATGCACACCCCCTTGAAGGGTTTGAATCAAAAGCGTTTAAATTATCCTAAATACAATCTTACAATTAGTTAGGGTTATCGGTAATCTATCGTTTTATGTTCATAAAATCGCCTGCGGCTAGTAATGTCCGAAAAAGTTACCTCATTGTCAAGGCTTTAATAGAAGTATATTGTGTCAATTAATAATTTAATATTATAGATAAATGAATAATAAACCTAAATCAATTGCTAAATAGATTCTATATCAATATAGGCAAGACATTAACTTTAAACAGCAGTGTTTGTGAGCAGGATTTGCTATATAAAAAGCGGCCATCTATAAGTTAGAGTGGCTTCCCCTGTATCTCACGCTGTAAGTTTCCAATAAAAAACCAACAACATGATTGCCGTAGTAAACGAGCATGGTTGGAAACATTGCTAGTCTTCATGACATTTATTACTGAAAAGTTTTAATTCAATTGTTTAAAAACAGGTAGAGTAAAGTGGCGTCTGCGGACAGTCGTAGCAAAAAAATCGGAAGTGCCGATTTCCATTGAGCGCCATTCAGTAACCGCTTCACATAGAAACAAACCGAAAGTACCGTCTCACTCCGCATTCTTTCTAGTTTAATCACGTCTGATTCATTTTGTATTCATACGCATAGCATTGAATGTATTAACATTTTCAGTGGTGAGACTCTGTGCGGACAGTAAGAGCACTTTTTTTTACATTTTATTTTCTGTGCGGACACTTGCTCCTTATGCGGACAAGGCATATTTTGTTCATTTTGTTTCTATTTAAATGATTGAAATAAACATGTTACATACATAAATAGTGTTGTTGATTGTTTTATATATTAATATATTGGAAAACAAAAAATATGAAGAAATATGAAATACGTTTTAATTAAATTAAAGTGATGCCTGAAAGAAACTCAGGACCCAGTTGAGATTTTATTTCACTTTTTGCTTAGTAGACACGTTTGATGATCAAAAATATTTTTAAAACCTAAAAACATCACTAAAAACTAATAGATCTAGATTTAGACTTAATTTAAATATAAATCTGGAGTATCAAGATTAGTTTAAAGCTCCTTTTTACTTAGTGTAAGAAATATACTCTGATTTTTCATTAGTGTCCGCAAAAGGTTAACCCTCAAAAAATATGCGGACACCCCAATTTTTCCTCTAAGATGGCTTAAACAACCTTAACTATGATATTTATAGCTTTCTATATATATATATAAGCTATTTATAGTTAACCCAGTTAACTAAGCTATGATTGGTTCGATTTATTCCTCTAATCCGGGGACTAGTGCTCTTCATCCGGATGAGGTTTCCTACCATAAAACGTCATACATCGCAACTTTGAAAAATTCCAATTAATCTCCCTATTGAGTGAAATAGAAGAAATGGACTCAGATGTGTTTAAAAATGGACATGCTTTGTGTTGTTTGCGTTAGTTTCCTATAAAACATTCATACAATTATTGTTTTAAGCGAAAAACAGCAAGGTGTCCGCACAGAGCCGGACAGAGGCAACTGTCCGCAGACGCCACTTTATCTAGATAAATGAAAAAAGGAAACATTTTTATTTTTGTATTTTTCATAAATTCATAAATCCTCCTCAAAATTATTAAAATTTAAGGAGTCACCTGTTTTTCACATTACTAGTCGCTGGCGATTTTACGTACCTAAAACGATAGATTACCGGGTTATCTAGATCTACATCCAGATCTTTGTTTTAATCGGCATTTAATAAAGTAGGCCTACTTAAACTAAATTTAAAATTACTTTGTAGTTAGGCCTAGATAGCTTGTTTACTTATTTTGTAATGGTGTAGTTGACGGACTAACAATTATTGTCACCAAAGCAAGTGTAGTAAACACATTTTTCAAATATAATTTTCATTTTACCAAAGGCTGCAAAGGGGGGGGGGGGGTGTAGGGCATTTGTGACGATGTGTGACGAGAGGAAGAAGGTTCAGAAAGTATGTAGTAAATATTTTAATTTTTTTTTTAAATTATGAGTTCACATTTTAATCTTGGACTTTATTCAAATGAAACTCGATCTAGCCTATAGCATATAGTATATAGTATATAGATCTAGGCCCTACATATAGATCTAATTAATATTATTTATTAATGTTGATTCCAGTTATAATAACTGTCTATGCATTTTTTCAGTTAAATTAAAGAAAATAATAACCTACGTTAACATTATAACAAAAACAAAGAAAATAATATAATAATAGAAAACAAAGAATGTGTAAAATAAAGTGTTTTTGGTATTTTGTGCCAACTAGACTAGGTACGGTATTTAGTTTTTTAAGTAAAAATACTAGATCTAAATAAAAACTATTTATGCTGTCTTTCTTTCGCGGTTTTGATATTTGCGCTTCAGCAGTCATTGGAAACAATTTATTTTATTTTTAAAAATTTCAAGATATAATCTAGATCTAAACGATTAGTAGACCCTGTCTAATTTATTGTATTATTTTATATTGAAATAAAATTGTTCCGTAAACCTGAAAATCGAAAGTAAAAGGAAGCCTAGAATCAAGTCTTATAATTATAAAAGATTGATAAAGATTCCTTTAGTTGGCTGAACTAAAAATCAGAACAAGATGAAAAAGTATCAATGTATTGAATGTGGTGCCAACGTTTTGCATCTTTATCGTGACTACAAAGCAGATGTTATAAAAATATATCACTGTGTACGTAGATCTAGAACCTAATTAGTAATTAGGCCTACCTAATTAATTTATAATTTTAATAATAATTAATAATTATTTTATTTAGGCCTAACTTATTAAGTTATTAACCTTCCTGAAGTCACTGAAGTGGGTCAAATTCAGTTGTACCACAGCAGACACTGAGACAGCCACACAACATTGATTAATTGACAACATACAACATGACATTACATCACAGTGATACATCTTGTCACAACCACAACAGACAGGCTCATACATGACATAAGACTTTCATAAGAAGACTCAAGCTGTCTGCTGAACTTGTGAGTCAATCTGATTTGAGTCTTCTGGCACTTGTGTCTTGTAACTTTTAGTTTTAGTTTTTACTGACTAATGACAGTTTATAGACAGTTTATTACTGACTCACTGATTAGATTAGAGATTATTTATATAATGAACTGAAGTTAGTCAGGAGATAATCTGTTAGCCTATACATAGTATACTATAGTCTTGTTAGAGAGTGTGCCATGCCCCAGCCTAGCTGCTAGCTAGTAATTAGGGTTGCCAGATACCTTTTCCGAAAATACTGGACACCTTTCCACCCTTCCCTTCTCAGGTATGCCGCAAAGCAGAAGAAGAAATATAAATACTGGACAAGTATAATACTTGTCCAGTATTTATATTTATTTTATCCTGGACAGTCTGCTCAAATACTGGACTGTCCAGTTCAAAACTGGACACCTGGCAACCCTAGAGTAACTACAACTAGATCTAGTAGTTACTAGTTAAGTTACACAAGTTACAGAGACCATCAGAATCAATAACAACCAGGATCTGCTTTAGGTGTATTGGCAGGTCCTGGTTGTTGTTATTAATTTTAATATGGGCACAAATAAGAGAGCTGCTCAACTGAGTCTGATGAAAATCTTGTCTATAACTATAACTTTTTATTTTTGCAGGAGTCATGCAACGCTGTGGCTGACAAGTATATTGAGTATGATCCAGTCATTATTTTGCTTGATGCCCTACTCTTACAGCCTCAAGCATACCGTCACTTGCTAATTAATTCACAACATGAGGTAAATGTTTTAGTTATACTGATTACTGCATTTTTTAATAGGCCAGTACTAATAAACAAAAACTCCCACTGTTTTTTACTAACCCAACCACCCTACTTTTTCTATATAGATATTTCCAAACTATTGGCTTATTAATTAGTATTTCAAGTACATCAGCTACCAAAGGATATAGAGTATAATAAGTAGTGTTCAGTCTTTAAGTTACATGTGGGTTTTTTAAAAATTGTATCTTATAGTCAGAGTGGAGGCTTGTGTTCCTGTTATGGATATGTGATGCCTTTGCTAAACTTGTTAGTCACAGAGCAGATTTGGTCATCACGCAACAGGCCTCGACTCCTGCAAATGTGAACTACATTAATCTGGGCTTGGAGCTGTATTTAAATTTTATAATTGCAGCAGCAGGTAAGGATTTTATGTTGAAATGGGATTTTTAAATATGAAAAACTTATCACTAGTGTATGATTTATGCTTCTATCTCATACAATTGAGTATGGTTAGTGTCTTTAAGGAAGTGGTACTATTTTTAGGCTTATAGTGAGTATTCTTTATTTATATTTTAGTTCATAATGCTAAAGAAAAATGATTGCAAGTATAGCTTACATTATACTCTTCTTGCTTGTATCCCCAATCATGCATGTTGTATTATTCATCTTACTTGATTTGAAGTTGGTAACATGTCAAACAAAGCAAACTATTGGCTCATTTAAGTGGTATCTGCATTGATCTTAAAAATTCAGTATTTATGTATTGAATAGTTTACTTCTATATTTGCTGTCTTAAAACACACATAGCAATATATTGATATAGTTTGTAATGTAGCACTGAGAAATGAACATGAGCTTATCATATTTTATATTACAATGTGGTTTATGCTACTTTCTTCTTTAACGTAATACCCCACTGATCGAAACTTTTTTTTTCTTAAAAAACAGAACTGTGTATTTTTATGGCATTTGTTGTGCTAATGTTTGCAGTACAAAGTCTTTGGGAAACTAGAAGTCTCCAGTCATTAAGGTAAGAAAAAATTTATGTAATATGTCACTCTCTCACTAATTAATTAAATGCTTAATTGCTTAAATTCGAATATTAATTACAGTTTATTTGGTAATTACTTTGTTCATCTGAATTTTCCCATTCCAAAAAAAACATTTTTTTTTGTTTACTACTAGCATTCCTCTGTTGTCAAAAGCTGTTATACTAGCCAGTATGGGACGGATGCTAGTAATACCTGTTCTACTGTGGGACCAGTCTTACAGCTATGTTTATGGGCTACTGTGTCAAGGATTTGTTTGTTTGTCAACACTCCAAGCTCTGAGAGGTAGAAATACTTGTTTGATTACATTTTGAATGGTAGGATTGCTCCTTTGAGACTAATATTTCAGAATATTTTCAGAAGAGTGTAGTAAAATATTGGGGTATGATAGGGTGTTGACCTGAAAGTCTCAGGTAGACTCCGTAGGATGTCCTGAGTCCACCCAGCTCTGATGGGTACCTGACTCGTAAGTAACAGGTGAACTCTACTACATCTGCCCCATGAATTGCCAGGCCCGAAAGGTTAACTCAAATTTACACATTAACTATTATTTAATGCCATTATTTTTCTGTACTTATTAACTAGTCTACATATATTAGTTAATCAAATAAAGTTGATTGTTATTTAAAAACTTCCTTACTTTTTTTCTTGCATTTGCCATCCTTTTTAAGGAAGCATTTTTATGGGTAATGTAATTATTTTGTATTGCTGATGGGCTGTTACAATTGTATAATCCATTTTCATGTTTTCAGTTGTGAATCAAGGTCAAAGAAAGACTTTTTGGTCATTATTAGCAGTCATTTTTGGATGTTTGTCTCAACACCAAATTTCTCATAGACTCCATGAGTGGTTTGATTGATGAAGATGTAACCTGAAACACCACATTTCTGAAATTCTGCTCTGGAGCAAGGAAATTGAAAATACTTTCTCTATCTTCAAGGCTGTCAAAATTATTGGATGGTTCCTATTAAGTGCCTTCTTACATGATGATAGAATGGAATGGGGTTTAAAGAGAGATCTTAGTAAATGTTTTTATTTACCTCACATTATCTCTGGTAATACAGGCTGTGATATAGTCTTTAACAGGATGAAAATACTGTTTGATTAGACAAGTTTGCTTTTTTATTTTTATAACTTCTATTCAAATATATTTAGTGCTTGCTAGCAGTAACAATTTTAGTTTATAAACTCATCACAGAACAAGAGAACAAACAAATGCTGCATGCAAAGGAAAAGAATGAACACTTTAACGTCAAATAATTTATTGTAAGTTCTGCTGCATAAAAAAATTGCAATGGTAATGTCTACACCTACACACCTTGTAAGGTTGCACATATTTCTGTATGTTAGTAATCTACTGTATAATGATGGAGCTTTTTTCTCACAATTTTTAAACTTTTCATACAAAATATGTTTTAAGAAAATTTTACCTCAACCGTAGTTTAAATTTTTTTTGGGCAGTTGTAGACTTAAAAAACAACTCATTTGTAGATATACATTAAATATTGATGATACCATGATTAAATTTTAATGTTTAGGATTAAATGTTTAAGCTTGAGAAAACTCAGATTTCCTTAATCTGAGATTATTCTCCATGAATTTGGAAGTCTTCCCAGCACAAATAGCTAATGCCCATTCATAAGTAGTATAAAAAAGTATTTCTTTTACTCAAATGTAATTCATTTCTGAGAAAGTAGATTTGAATAATTGCTGTACATGTGAGTGTTGTGTTTGTGCCTAAGTTCAGTGTGTTGGGAATAAAATGACCTGAGCACCCTGTACCGTGGTAATTGAATACTCCCATGGATTTCGACTAGCTTTAAGGTATTTTAACAATAAAACTTGAGTGGACACGTAGAAACAAATGAAAATCCTGCTTGATGGTTAGTATGTAAACAATCTGAAAAAATGTCAAAGTTTAAAGCACAAATCTTTTCAATGAATTTATAATAAAATGTGTTAAGAAAGTGTAATTCTGCATCTTTGTAATCTTATTAAAGTCAATGTAACAACAGTTTTATAAAAAATGTAATTCTGCTTCTTTTTAATTTTATTAAACTTGTTCCTCAGAAGTAAATTTTTTTAATATGGACGGTTGATGATTGTTTATCCCACAGCAGACAATTTGGCAGTAAACAAAATGTGTTCTTAATTTATGGATTTGAGATCATACAGCTTATTAATGACAGAAATTACATGGAAAACATTTTTCATATATAACTTTGGGTGCAAAAAAAAAACAATCTCTACTTAACAATTGAACATTTCCTAAAAAAATGTGCTATTAACTATTAGCCACAACTTTGACAAGCATTAAAAAAATGGAATTTTGATAAAATCCCACTAACTTGGTTCTACTTGCATCACTTTGCCAGGTTTTCTACAAACTGGTGACTATTAAATAACTTGTTTGAATCTGATAACTTTAAAGCACCACAACATGGCATGCATTGAAAATACAGCATTGACATATTACACTGAGAGTTTTTTAGTACAAAGAAGGACAATAAAATACTTTAAGCTGACAGACAACACTACATGTAAAACAGCAGTAAAACAAATCTTCAAATAGTTTCAGGAAAATATACGCACGATTGAGCTATTAAATAATGCAGATCTGTACATGACTAGATGTGAAGGAGGTCAGTGCTTGTCTGTGTCTGTCTAGTTGTTATTGAATTTCTCGCCAGAGGTTAGAGTCTCTACATTCCCCAATCTGTAACTTGATTTGGTCAATGTTGGTTAGCTTCTAATACTAATAATGTAGCATACAATTATATTACAATGCATAAACAATGAAATGTTTCACTAAGTCAATTTTTACAGAAAAAATTAGTTTGTCTAAAATATATTTTGTAACAGTTTATTTTCTCCTTTAATAATACTCATAATAGTAAGAAAATGTCTACATTTTCAGCATGAAGGTTAGGTTGATAATTTGTTCAACCAAAGTCACACTTTTTTCTATACATAAATTAGTTGGTCAAGTTTTTTACATGAATGTTTGTAATGAAAAGAACATAATTGTATGTGAACTTATAAATATTTACTGTTTTGCCATTTATTTCATATTATCTACAAAAAGATAATATACAACAATAGAATAATATGGATACAGCCAGATAAACCTTTGTCTAAGTAACTATCTTCAAATATAAGTATTAAAAATGAGGTTTGATTGTATTCTATTGAGGTAATTTAAACACATGACTAGATTGTTTTTAAACTTGCTATAAAATTATCTTATCCTATGTTTTAATTTGTTTAGAATATTTAGAGTTTGCCAAAATATCGAGTTTACTTAAATCAAAATAAATCTATGCATTCATTCAATAGAAAATTTTCATACTGAACTCTACCGATTTTTTAAATTGTTTGTTTTTCCACAAAACAATTTGAAAATATTCACGATTAAAATAGTTAGTTTTTACCAATTAAAAAATATTTTTAAATGGCTGTATCTCATATGAAGACTTTGAATGAGAAGATCTTAAAAATGTAATACAACTATTAAAATATTCTCTCCTTGTTATAAAGAAAAATTGTAGCTTCTCATTTTAAGTCTTAAAATAAAAAATACAAGAACTAATGTGAGCAAGCAACAACATGTCTACAAGTAGTAACACCACCACATGCACTGATATAATCACAATGATAAAATTTGAACAGCCTCTTTTTGGATCCAGCAATAATCAAAGACATTTATAAATACAAAGTTTTATGACTGAAACATAGCTGCTGCTCATTGAAGAACACTTAAAATAAATAATGATTGTATTGTTTTAAAGTGAAAAGGTTATAATGATAAACTGCAAAATGTTAGCCAAATTTGTTGATGCTCAACCAAATTAAGAAATAATTTTATTCTAAGCTAAATGAGTGTCAACTGTTTGTAGAATTATAGAATTAGAAACTACTCATTTAAATTCTTCTGAGCATGTTTTGGCTTATTACATTTGCATCAATATTTTAATAGAGTAAAAGAGTTCTAAAATTATTTGAAAAGTGACAAGAGCAGTTAAAAACATTAGAAAATACTTGAAAATATATCTTTTTACCAACAGCAAATTAATATACATCTTTAGTGATATTTGAAAGAAATACCTCAAAATGAAGAATATAATACAGAAATATCCATTTGAAAAAAAAAAATTACATTATTATATTTGCACATTGATTTTGCACCATTACGCAATCAATGCGTGATTAATAAATGATGAATATTTTAATATTCAATCAAATCTTTATTAATGGATATTTCTGTATGGCATGATTGATTATGATCAATAAATAGTTTCAAGATATTTACAGCAGGTGAATATTAAATTACAGTCGAATGCTTAACCAGAGATAAAAATTAAAATCTACATTCTATAAATGACAAAATATTCGAAAAGTGAATATTATTATGGCAAATGCACTGTACCATATTTTTTCACATTCATTCAGGTGAAGGCTGTTGACCTGCTGCCAATGGTATTGGGGTTGGAGGATCAAACAAGGCTGATGCCATGGCACTCATTTTATTGGAATATTAGTTTGAAAAGACATAGGCCCTAATATCCAGATCTAACTAAATATAAGAATCTATAGTCTCGTCTCATTTTTAAATCAAGAAAGTTAAAGGCATTTTACTTTTTTCAATTGTTAGAGCCAAATTTTTTTATCTTATATTCACAAACAGGTATTTTAAAAACGTGTGTGTTCATATTTTCATAGGTGAATATCTTATTAAGACAATACCTGCTTTTAAGTCTGACACTGAGACAGATTTTACAGTAAAATATGTACAACTAATTTAAAAAAGTCATGAATACACACAATGATAATACAGTAATACAGATAGTGGCTGTAAAAAAAATTCCAGTTTTAGGTTTGACAAATATTTGTGTTCCATGAGAAAAAAAAAGAGTCACTAGATAAATGCAAAGAAATTAAATTCCATTAGAATTATTCAGCATGCCTTTGGTAAAAACAATGGATTCTTTTATACCAACAAGACAAAACCAACAACCAAGTCAACAAGACAAAACTGTATAAGGTACCACCTAGTCAATAGGAAAATACATGAGGTGTTTTTTTTATGCAAATGCAATCATTAACTGGCCTTGAACATGCAAAACAACTGTGTCTTTAAAAACATTGTACAAATTAAAAAGTTCCATTAGCAATGATGATGACAGTGCCAAGGTAAAAATCTTTTTTCTAAATTAATTTTTCTAGTCCAAGTAGATTCTTTCACAATTGTTAAAGCGCTGATTTATTTGCAAACATTCTTATATGAAGTAAACCAAAAACTTATTTCCACATACAAAGCTAATTCATATGTAAAATGTATAAACCATCACAAATAACCAATTTTTAAAATTTACATTAAAGTTAAATTATCCATCAAATTCATCATTAAGAATTACTTGAAATGTGCACAAAGACCAACTCCATATTTTCACTTGAACTAAAAATATCAAATATTGTTCAAAGTCGATTGTGATGAGAAGGGTATCACTTTTGTGATGACAGGGGTATCACTCCATGTGGTCACTGAAGAGTCACTATTTGTATCAGGGTCAGGCTGCTGTCCAGAAATGTTTTAATTAACTGTATTCAATTTCAGCATAATCCAAGCCTTGTAATAATCCAATCAAGAGAGTCATTTGTGAAATACAAACAGTAAAAACACACAGAATGTTTGTAATCATTTAAACAGTAAACACAGAATGTTTATACTGAACAAGTATGTAGATGTATGCTTTTGTAGCATATGGCTTCCATGAATAAAGTAACGATTGATGCTATCAGTACCAATGGGTTATGACAAGTACCCCAGTAACGTTTGATTAAATGCAGTCTGTTTAAATATAGCAGCAGTAATGTATTTAAAATCTTTTCATGTTTTACCAATGTGGCATTGTGTCTGCTCAAGATTTCTGTAACAGGCTTTATGATGAGAATCAGTTTTTTAATGCTAGACAATCACTTCTGGCTCATCAAGTAATGATCTAGACAGCTGAATGTTGATGTCTTTTTTGTTGTTTTTCTTTGGCTGTGGCCTATACTCCTGGATGTCATTTAAATCAGGAGAGGATGAGTCCTCTGGTGCGAGGTATCTCCGGGGATTCTTGTCATACTTCTCCATGTCAATGTCATGCAGCTCTTCAGTCGGAACTGCTTTGGGAATTCCCCTTTTATCACTGGATGAAAAGATTGGGTTGCGGTAGCGCCTGATGTTATCCTGATTTTCATTGTTTGCTGCTGTTTGTGTGCTGGCCAGGTACTCATCACGCAGGTGTCTTCTTCGTCTCTGTACGCGTCTGTGCCAGATGATGAGAATACTGATGCAGGCCACACCTAGCAGAGCAATCACTGAGCACAGCACAGGTATCAGATAAGAAGGTTCTGGAAAGAAAAAAAAACAGTCAAAATATAAAATTCATGCATGAAAAATTTATTTTTACTTGAACTGCTCTTAGTAATCAGAGAATGTAAAAAATTAACTCACTTAAGATTGGCTTAGTTTATAGTAAGTACACAATTTAGGTAATTCTGTAGATAACAATGGAGAAAAATAAAAATGTTACCTTCACTGTCATCTTCACTGATTGCTGTTTCTAGCCTGATCTCTATGACAGCTGCCAGAGCGCTACTGTTTGCCTGTTTGTGTGACAAAACCATTGCCATTTTGTCTAAAGCCTGGCTCACTGTGTTCTTAGCATTTAAATTACTGCCCTCAAGTTTGGCTGACTGAAATAAAAATTGAATTGATTAATGTGATGTAAATAATTAAAATCATTAGAAAATGTTTGTATAAATATAATTTGAAGTAAAAATAAAAAAAAACACTTTACTAAAATCTTAAATAAAAACAGTGAAATAAATTTCTGAAGAGAAAGGGATTCCAATAAACTAGATTTGTGTTGGTAGTTAAAAATTCTCCAAACTTCTCAACACATTTATACAATTTTAACTGGCAACTTTACCAAGGTGATCTCCAGAGTGTCCTGTTCTTGGGGTTTTATTGCACACATCACATACAGAGTTTCTTCATTGACAACTCCTCTTAGCTGAGGCAATTGGCGCAGACTGTTGCAAATACTTTCAACAGAAATACCCTAAAATTTGAAAGTGTAAATTGATTAAATATAATAAAGTCTGGTAAATAATTTTTTTAATTAAAAAAATGTAATAAGTAGTTATTAGAAATTTTAAAATAATCAAATTTCAAGTAATTGTACAATTAAAGCAATTGAATGTTTACCAGAGGCATTTTTGTTTTATCAAAAATGAGAATAATTTTAGCACAGTTGCTGCCCAGGTGAGCTTGGTTTGGAATGCAGGTCCATTCACTGCCAGGGCTGGGGATTTCCTTGACCGACTCCAGCGCCCTACATTCTCCAAAAGGCAGGCAAGGAGGCGTTAGGCAGGTCATGTGAGTCTGGACAACACACGTCTGGTCTGGCTCACACAGGAACACTGGACTGGAAATATTGGGGTGGTTCAGGCAGTTCTTAGGGCCACACCACATCTGAAATGGCAATGTTCAGCTTAGTACAATTTTAGTCAAAAGCAATATCAGTTTATCAAATGGTTGGTAGAAGAAACTTTGGACAATTGTGATAGTTAATGGATAAAAACATGTCCATAAACTATTTATTATATAAATCAGTAACTGTAAGTACTTAGTGCTGGCAGTTAAAGAAAAATTTCAAGCTTGAAGAAATGTATACAGTTATCTCTCAACCTATGTTAAAAACAAATGAAACAATAGATTTATATCTACCTTTGTACACTTGACAATACCATTGTCACACTTGCAGGCATTACAGTCATGTTCCCATGTAGTGCCATCAGAAAAGATGCGCCGTCCATGTTCACATGACTTGGGTGACGGAAGCTGGCCAATTACTGACGGTACAAGCACAACAGAATTATAAATATTTGTATTGTAATTTATTATGTGAAAACTGACCTTAATATAAATTTAAATCATTATTTTAAAGCTTACAACCTGAACATAATTAAAGATTTTAAAATCACACCTGCTTCACATAAAGTTCCTGTTCTCCCAGGTGGGCAAATACAGCGAAAAGACGCAATACCATCAATACAGGTGCTGCCATATGTACATGGGTTGGATGTGCACTCATTTATATCTAGTTACAAGATACAGTTGTAATAAGAAATATTGTAAACAAAACTGCTCAGAAGAAAAATAACTGAGCTACAATTTAATTGCTCTTTTACTAACTACAAAAAACACAGTTTTTACCAAAAATACATATAGGATTTTAAAAATGTAGTTATTTGCAGTAACAAGAATCTTTTTAAAAAAAACGTTAACGTATAGTAATGTCAATGTGTGAAAAACAAGATGGAATCTACAAACAACCAACTAAAATAACAAAAAGTAGTCTATTAGCAAACGACAACTTACTAATTCTGCAGTCAGGTCCTGAGAAACCTTTGGCACAGTCACACACATACCAGTTGTCTCCATCAATACAAGTTCCTCCATTATAGCTACAACATTTTCAATTGTTAGAACTGACTTGAAATCTTTCATCTTAATATTTATACTAGCCTAAAGTTTGTTAACATCATGCGAAACTTTAAATGTTTGAAATGACAGTATCAGTCTTTAGTTAAAAGTTAACAAAAAGGTTTGTGCTAATAGATTTTCCTCTTACCATGGGAAAGGATTACAGTTGTTGATATTGATGCCACAAGTTGGGCCCTCAAACCCATCTCTGCAGATACAGGTGTAGCTGTCCCCACTGTTGACACATGTGCCCCTGTTCTGGCAGGGGGATGACTCGCAGGGCCTTTTAGTAGCTGGTTAAATTACATTGTAAGTTTATCATCTTTTAAAAGCAATATTTTTTTGCAAATTTTTTAGTTTAAAAGAATGATTTCCATTGACTTTCTTTTTTAAAGTATGTTTATCATACAATCTTTTAAAAGCAATATTTTTTTGCATATTTTTTTAGTTTAAAAGAATGATTTCCATTTACTTTCTTTTTTTAAAGTATTGAGTGATTTTTTTAAAAAGTTGCAGTCTTCTAGCTAGGAATCCCCTTAAGTTACATGTTTTGTTTACATTTTAATATCATTCTATATATTATTGTTTTGTTAATATACATCTCTCAAGAAACTCTTCTTAGTTGTTTTACTTACGAATCTGACAAAATGTTCCTTTCCACCTATCTGTGCATCTGCAGGAAAATGTGTCACCAAGGTCAACACAAGTGCCCCCATTTAAACAGGTCATTGCCTCACAGTGGCTTTCTTCTGCAAAAGATAGAAAGTTTGATTTTAATTTAGCAACAATAACTTTTACTCAAAAACTTGTGTACTCCTATCTGGATTTTACTAATGTAATGAATATTTACAAAAAATAAGTATGTTTTGTACTCAGTTTTATATTATAGTATTACACGTTCAACTAAAAAACCTACTTCTGATGCAAGTTTTTAAAAAACATAATTATGGAGCAAGTTTTTAAAAAACCTAATGAGGGTGCAAGTTTTTAAAAAACCTACTTATGGAGCAAGTTTTAAAAAAACCTAATGAGGATGCAAGTTTTAAAAAAAACCTACTTATGGAGCAAGTTTTAAAAAAAACCTAATGAGGGTGCAAGTTTTAAAAAAACCTACTTATGGAGCAAGTTTTTCCCTTCCAGTTGTTGGCACACTTGCACTGAAACTCAGCTATCAGGTCATTGCACTCTCCACCATTCCTGCACGGATTCATTTCACAATCATCTTTATCTACAACAAGAAAGAAATTCCATCATCTTAGTAGCATCAAAGGTAATTTTTAAAAGATAAAAATAAAAAAATAAAACCTCAATGATTTTCAGCTAGAAAAAAATAAGTTCTGTAAGAGAAATCTAAAACTAGCCTGAGCTCATTCATTGTTTACTTACTTATATTGCACAAAGCCCCCTCCCATCCATCAGCACAGATGCACTGGTACGAGTTGACTCCATCAATGCATGTGCCAAAATTCTGACATGGATTGCTCGCACAGTCATCAATATCTGCAGGTGAAAGTTTCATGGGGGGGTGATGAAAGCACATAACTACAGACATGAGTTCAACAACTTGCAAATAATCAGAATTTATAGTCTGTAAAATGGTTACACTGATTTGTTAAACGTAAACCCATTTAAGAATTCCCAAAAATGCTGACAAACATATCTAAAAGTAAACAGAAATATTCAAAGAACTTTTTAATTTTTTTTTTTATTTAAAAAAATATTCTCTGAAATATTCTTGAAACAAATATTTTGATGTGGGCAGCTACTAGAACCTATGATAACATAATCATTGTCTTTCATCCAAAAGACAACAATGTGATAATGGAGGCCTGGGAACATAAAGCAACTTAATGGTTTCCTTCCTGCACTTCCAGACAACTGAAAGGTTTTAGAGAGGAAATTCTGTCCTTTGTGAATGCAAGTTCACAGGAAAGGTAGAACAAATGTGTGGGAAGAAAAAAAAATCAAACAAATAGTCTAGTAAGGGGAGATTAATCTTTTCATTGACATTATGGAGAAAAGAAAAGGGGAGTCATTACTTTAACACCTGTCTAAATATAGGAATATGATAATGGAACTTCATTTTAAAAAACATTGATGGAAATTGATATGGTGTCACTTTGTAGGCCTATTTCAACATCTGCTCTGAAAATGATTAAACACACTTGTGCCTTAGCTTGTTTTGTTAAATTCTTACATCTACTATCATGGGATAAAGCAGCAGGAAATTGTGTCCAAAGTTTTAGTTTTAGCTAGTTTTTACAACATGTACAGTTAGTAATTTTTAAGCTAGAAATGAATGAAGACAATTACTTTGATGGCAGTAGGTGCCCATGTAGCCCGGGACACAGGCGCATGAAAAAGCTCCATTGGGCTGACTGATGCAAACACCATGCCTGCCACAGACCCCTGAGGATATCAGCCTGAACCCCCCAACTGACGAGTTCAGGGGAATGGACACTGTACAGCTGTCAATCACTGAAAGAAAACAAGTTGACATCATTAGTTTTAATGGATTTCACTCTCATTAAGTTAAACTTAGTTTCAAACAGTTTCAAAAATATAATTTTCAATGACTCCCTACAAGAGAAAAAAAAAATTTAATTGGATTTTTTTTTTAAAAAAGCTGAAAACGAAAATTTTAGTAAAATATTTTTAAAAAAAATTAGTTGATGATAAAATAACTCAAAATTAGAAATATTGTGAAAGTGGCTGGAGTTACCTTCACATGAGGTGGAGTCACAGTGTAAGCGCTGATGTGAGCAGTCCTTGCCTTCCCACCCTTCATTACAGTGGCAGTAGAAATCTCCTTGGATGTTGAAGCATGTAGATTCATGTTTACAGGGGTTTGGGTTGCACGGGTCAGCATCAGTCTGAGAACATGAGCAAACAGTGCTACTTATTAGAATACATGGACAAACAGTGTCACATATTAGAATACATGGGCAAATATAGCCATATATTAGAATACATGGGAAAATAGTGCCGTACATTAGAATACATGGGCAAACAGTGCCATATATTAGAATACATGGGCAAATAGTGCCATATATTACAATACATGCAAAAAGTGTAATAAATTATTATTATAGTAAAAGCTATAATTTATTTTTAAAAAAAGATAATTATTTAGAAACCAATATTATTGTTTGGATGTTAAGAGCATATTATCAAAACAGTTAATTTTTTTTGTACATGTATGTTATAAGCATTTTGTGAAACCAGAGTTAATTTACTTGTACAAACATGTCGTGACCATACTGTCACTAGTGTCAGACCTACCTGGCAGTACAGCCCTGTGTAGCCATTTGGACATTCACACTGGTAAGATGCAATTTTATCATGACAAATGGCCCCATTTTTACAAGGCTGGCTGGCACATTCATCTATTTCCACTTGGCAGTAGCGCCCAGTGTAGCCAGGTAAACATTGACAGTAAAAATCACCAACCAAATCCTTCAATCAAAAACAATTTTCAAAGGATTATTTATTGTGGAATTTTCTTTTAGTTATCATATTTTATTATAGTTTGTTGAACATTTAGGTAATATAAATAAATCTTTTAAACATGAAAATCAACTCACCATACAAAATGCTCCATTCTCACAAACAACATCTCTGCAATCATTTATATCTGCAATAGTGTTTTAAATAATTTAGTTTTTATTTAAAACATAGAAAACTTTTTTCTTGATATAACAGTTTAACAGAATAAGTAAAACTTTCTAACAACACATTTTATTTAATGTTACCTTGCCATAAACATCATTTTACCTATTGCTACCTTGCCATAAACATGCATGATCAAGGAAAAATGTGATGTAAGAAGATGGATGGTCAGAGAAGTTATTCATCTGTCATATAATTGTAAGGAGGTGGTCTAGGTTTGAACTTACTGACCTGTCATATGAATGTAAGTAGGGGGTCAAGGTTTGAACTTACTGACCTGTCATATGAATGTAAGTAGATGGTCAAGGTTTTAACTTACTGATCTGTCAAGTAGATGGTCAAGGTTTGAACTTACTGATCTGTCAAGTAGATGGTCAAGGTTTAACTTGCTGATCTGTCAGTTAGGTGGTCAAGGTTTAACTTACTGATCTGTCATGTAGGTGGTCAAGGTTTAACTTACTGATCTGTCATGTAGGTGGTCAAGGTTTAACTTACTGATCTGTCATGTAGGTGGTCAAGGTTTAACTTACTGATCTGTCATGTAGGTGGTCAAGGTTTAACTTACTGATCTGTCATGTAGGTGGTCAAGGTTTAACTTACTGATCTGTCATGTAGGTGGTCAAGGTTTGAACTTACTGATCTCACACTTCTTGCCCGTCCAGCCAGGTTGACAGTCACAGATAAAACTACCCTGGATGTTCCTGCAGGCCAGCGCGTTCACACACGGACTGCCATGGCACTCATCCGCATCCAGCTGGCAGTGGGGGCCCTGGTCACACAAAGATGGAATATTTCAATTTAAAACTATCAAGTGCTAGCTGGCAGAGGGGACCGAGATGAGTTTAGGTTATGTACTCTGATTTAGTGTAGAGATTTTACCTGCCACCCCTCAGGACATTCACATCTATAGCCATTGTCTTTATCAATACACTTTCCTCCATTCATGCAGGGGCTTGATACACATTCGTCTATATCTGTGGGGTTAAAAGTCAAAGGTTAACTGTGGATATATGTATATATTCAATATTGTGTGTGTATGTGTATATATATATATATATATATATATATATATATATATATATATATATATATATATATATATATATATATATATATATATATACACATATACACACACAATATATATATATATATATATATATATATATATATATATATATATATATATATATATCTTTTTAGGTATGTGTATGTAGATATACAAAATTTAGATAACCTGATTTCATTGTAGTCCTTACCAGACAATACCCATCATGTAAGCCTATTACTTTTTTTATCAACCATTTTCCCACAGAAGAAAAAGATTTATAGCTGAAAACCCCATGATTTTTCTTTAACGTTGATTTATTCATTCATCTGGTTTATCCTGCTGTTTAGCATTAAATCACTTTACCATCGCCCGCTCCTTTGGTGCTAGTGAATTCATCTACGCCATTCCCTAATCCATCCGTTCACCTGTGTGTTGACTTATCCGGCTCGGCGGAGGTGTACACAAAAGTCGGGCTATCTGGGCGTACTTTGGCAGACACGGAAGAGTGCCTTGGCTCTTGCGATCATTGAACCGGAACCAGGCAAAGTTACTCACCTATATCGCACGTGTCTCCCGTCCAGCCGGCAGCACAGTTACACACAAAGCCACTGACGACATCAACACACGAACCGCCGTTTCTACACGGCTGAGATGAGCAGGCGTGTTCCGCTGCAAGAAAAAGTTCATCAGATTTTTAAACGGACTGGACGGGTGTGTTAGTTTTAGATCGTGTACACTTTTCAAATGGTACACTAACAGTTGGGAAAGGGGGAATTTGAGACAATCACTGAATACTAACAAATGGAAGGGATTTGGGGATAAAACAGAAATCCCCTCCCCCTCTTCAGTGTTTCTTCCAGACTTTTTTCTCCGGGGGGCACTTGAGATTTTCGACCCCCCCGAAGAGATGCCTGGAAGAAACTCTGCCCCTCTCCCCTAAAAAAGGACATTCGCTCATCACTGATTACGTGAAATATTTTCACCAAATAAACTAATACTACAATCAGGCCTACTGTAATAAATGTTTAATAATCATGAATCCCCTCCTCAAGTCGTTGAAATTGTTTGCCTCCAGGAGGTCTGACAACCCAAACTTGCTCATGTTTAGGGACACTAATCCATTCATAACGTAACATGTCCCATCAAAAAGTCGAACTAATGCAGGTTGGAGAGACTCTGTTTACACAACCCCGCAGTAAATTAAACGGGTTTTTTAAACACAGTACTATAAATCATGTGACCAAGGAACGAGATTTGATAGGCTATACTGGACCCGGCGCCAGTAAAAGGCGCCCGTCACATTGATACCGCACGTAGTATCCTCAGTAAGAAATAGCTTAAAAGGGCCTAAGGGTGAGTATGTGGGCAGAAATTCCTTACCGATTTCACAGTTGACCCCCGAGAAGCCGACAGGACATGAGCAGTCGTAGGAGTCTGGGTTGGTGTTGCGGCACAGCCCGCTGTTCTTACAGGGGTGGTGGCGTCCGCAGTAGTTGAGGTCTGTGGAGATGTGAAATGTTGACATTACACTCCAGGGTGGCTCAACTTTAACTGGCGTATAGTGTGTACATGTACATTAAACTCTAGGCCGGATCAACTTTAACTGGTGTACATGTACTTAACCAATGATGAGGATATTAATTAACTTAATATTCTAAATAGTAATTATCTTAATTACAATAGCTAGTTTAACCACGTGGCGATACTTCACGCTTAGGTTATGTTTTTAGTATTTAAGTAAGTAGACCAACAAGTGATTCGAGTACCAATTATTATATCAACAGATTAGAACGGAATGAATGATAAATGAAGTATCATGGGGCAGCGTAATGGAATCAGATCCTGAAAATGAAACCTTTAGCATAACACAAGAGTATTAGGATGGGGTCTTGCCTTTGTCGCAGAGGATTCCTCCCCAGTTGAGGTGGCAGATACACTGCCAGGGGGAGCCGTTACATGATCCGTACTTGCACCCAGGGTAGGGGATACACTGGTCACACAACGGACCCTGCCATCCATAGGCGCAGCTGTGGATACAGTCATTCGTTAGTGGCAGTCACTCAAAGATGGATGATGGATTCATTCGTTAGTGGCAGTTTCACTCAAAGATGGATTCATTCGTTAGTACTTACACAATTAATGACATTCAAGTACCATGAATTAGTCGCGTTTTAGGGGCTTGCAATAGCATCCCAACCACATATATTGAGTTCTGGTTATATGCTACAAGTTATGCAGCAATATATAGGCTATCTGCTGGATGCTAAATCTATTGCGGAAAGATATAACTTCATTTAAATCTAGATCTATAGCTGCATGATATATTGGCTGATATTTACTATTTATCGAGGCATAGTATATTATATTTGATTCATAGGTTAAAGTTATTGAGGCCAGATATTTTTCATTACATCTCCTATGCTCGTCTTGTGATTTCACGTGATATGACAACCAATCAAAAAGCGAGCCATAGGTCGAGCCAGCTGTGGCAGCCATATTTCAACCTTATGTCCACAGAAACAACGCCCCCAACTGCACGAGCAGATCATGTTGCGATCTGTCTTCTGCTACCGTGTAATTATATCTAGCGGCGATTGCATCTCATTAAGTAAATGTCATATGAAATGAGGCAAACTGTTCCACATCTCATTAAATAGTTACAATGCTCTAATGATGCTGCTAATGAAAATGGTTTTTGATTAAAATATTTAAACTTGGAAAAAAGGAAGCCATTTATCATTTAGGGATCAGTAAATCAAGTAGCTAAGGTATTCAAAGAAAAATGTTTGCATTTATTCACTGAAAACTAAAAGGTAACAGTACAAGAATGGTGATGTGTGAAAACTAAAAGGTAACAGTACAAGCAGTAGCGTACGCAGGGGGGGGGGGAGCAGGGGGAGCGGCCGCTCCCCCTCTGGCCATTTTCAGCAAAGTGGCGCCTTTTTGGAAACTTTTTAAACTCAAGGTTTTAAACAATGATATTTGTTAAAAAAATATTTTTGGTCGGCACATCTATGTAAAGCACAAGATTTCTTTTCATGCAGCAATTAAGCATTATTGTACTAGTCTAGTAGTGTCTACGTTTACAACACGTATTAACAGCTGCATCAGTTTGCCATTCTAAAAATAACCATTACGATGCATTGCAATGTTTAAAAAACCTCTACGGGTAGTACCACTTGGCAAGAGGGGTGTTAAGTTTAAGGCAACTGTATAATGTGTTTGCTTACGAATAATAGCATTAGAAAATGTTATACATAAAACTTCACACATAATTACTTTATATATACAGTTTGAATCGTGTGATTAATTTTTAAAAAATTACAATACAGAAACAAATACAACTGATGTGACACCTCTATTTAAATTTACTTATGAGCAAACTGCGTAGTGGTGGGGAAATTTTGACAAGGTCAACAACATCATCACGATGAAGTAGTAGTATTCTTACAGTTTGGGCGATAGTGATTACGATTACAAATTATATGAAACAGTTACAACCCCCCTCCTCCATGGACCCCTCTGTAAAAACAAATATTGTCATAATACCATAATGTATTCTGTAATATATATTTGTGTAATATATATGCATGTTTAGAATAGTCATCTAAAAACTGACACTATGTTCACTATGAGTTGGTTATCTCCCCCCCCCCCCCCCCACACACATACACCTCACCACCACAATAGTGTAGAGCGACATTAATGTCACACCTAGGTATACACTGGGTTGGATAATTGACCTAAAGTGAACGGACAGTGGTGAATGAAGTTGAAACTCCGCCCCCCCCCCCCCAACCCACCCCGAACTGATCCGTTAAGTACATGTAGAAAAACGCGTAATGATGTACCAAAGTACCATGCCGCCAGAAAATTAGCTTTTTAAACGTAAAACTGTGAATATTGTTTTTTTTTGCAATTACCAGTAAATAGGTGTGTGATCAATACAGTGATCTAACCCATACCTATCACTATGTTAACAATTATCTTAAAAGAACACATAGAAGCAGTAGTTAATTTAAAATATATGATCCGAACTAAAAGACTGATATTTAGTTAAATGTAGGCTGTTATTCTGAATGTTCTTCTAATCAATCGAAAAGCGTGGTTTTATACCAACTCTGATTTAAAAAACTTTCATTATGCTGTAATACTTTAGCATTTATGATGACGATATATTAAATTTTGATTAAAGACAAAAACATGTTGTAAACACGAATAGAGTTAAACAATTTCATTATATTCTAAGGTAATTATTTATTTATTTTGACATTTTTAATTAAATTTGTAGATATATACATATTTATACTAAGAGAGTGATTATTTCCCCTATTTCACTTGTCTTAAATAATTTCCCAGGAATTATTATGTAAGAATTTTTTTTTACAAGAATTACAAAACAGATTGTGTTACGTTCATTGTTTTTAGTTGTAGTGTGTGTATATTTTTATTTTATTTAGATTGATACAATTTTTGTTTTGTCGGCCTACATTGTGTGTTTTTTCTTATTTCTTCAGAGTGCTACTTTCAATTTATTTTACATCATAGCGAAGTAATGACATACAGCTAGTAATTATATATATATATATATATATATATATATATATATATATATATATATATATATATATATATATATAATACACGTATATAGAACGTGTTAAAAATTCGGCGCCTTTTTTTGCTCTTTTCGCTCCCCCTACAACGAAAACCTGGATACGCCTCTGAGTACAAGACTAGTGAATGTGTGAGAACTAAAAAGGTAATAGTACAAGACTGGTGAATGTGTGAAAACTAAAAGGTAACAGTACAAGACTGGTGAATGTACAAAAATCAAAAGGTAACAGTACAAGACTGGTGAATGTGTGAAAACCAAAAGGTAACAGTACAAGACGGGTGAGTGTACAAAAACCAAAAGGTAACAGTACAAGACTGGTGAATGTGTGAGAACTAAAAGGTAACAGTACAAGACTGGTGAATGTACAAAAACCAAAAGGTAACAGTACAAGACTAGTGGTTGTGTGAAAACAAGACGGGTGGTTGTGTGAAAACAAGACGGGTGGTTGTGTGAAAACAAGACGGGTGGTTGTGTGAAAACAGGACGGGTGGTTGTGTGAAAACAGGACGGGTGGTTGTGTGAAAACAAGACGGGTGGTTGTGTGAAAACAGGACGGGTGGTTGTGTGAAAACAAGACGGGTGGTTGTGTGAAAACAAGACGGGTGGTTGTGTGAAAACAAGACGGGTGGTTGTGTGAAAACAAGACGGGTGGTTGTGTGAAAACAAGACGGGTGGTTGTGTGAAAACAAGACGGGTGGTTGTGTGAAAACAGGACGTGTTGACGTACTTGCACTCTCCTGGCTTGTTGCAAGACCCGTGGATGGCGTGACACCCTTGACGACAGATGGCTGCGAGAAAAATTTGATGGTTAAACAGGGATATTTACAGTAAAACAAGGATGTATACAGTAAAACAGGGATATATACAGTAAAACAGGGATATATACAGGATCCTGGGAGGCGGGGGGGGGGGTAGTACATAGTAAGGGATATATACAGGATCCTGGGAGGCGGGGGGGGGAGTAGTATACAGTAAAACGGATATATACATGATCATGGGAGGCGGGGGGTAGTATACAGTAAAACAGGGGTCTCCGAACTGCGGCCCGCGGGCCGGATGCGGCCCGCGAAGTCCTCTCATCCGGCCCGCTGAGATATTTTTGTCCAAGGAAAAATCGTTTGTTGGTGATGGCTGAGGAACTTTGCCCAGAAAAATCAAAGACATGTCTGGAAGAAACTGGCCCACCGAACTGAAATTTGATAGTTAATGCGGCCCTCGGACTGAAAAGTTTGGAGACCCCTGCAGTAAAACATGGATATATACAGTAAAACAGGGATATGTATAGGATAGTGGGTACGTAAACCTAAGGAAAATACGGCCAAATTTTTAGTTCGTGACAAAAAGTATTTTGATACGTTTTATTGATGTGTTCCTATGGCAAGTCAGTGGTCACTGTAATGCTGAAAGAAGCCTCTAAAGTGAGACTGTTCTGTAAAGTGAAACCTTGTTCAGTGAAGTGAGACTGTTTATTGAAGTGAAACGGTGTTCAGTGAAGTGAGACTGTTTATTGAAGTGAAACGGTGCTCAGTGAAGTGTATAAGTTAAAAATATGTTTTTTATTTTTAACTGACGTGAAGTCTCCAGCAAAACAATGGACTCAATTTTGTAAATAGATGATGGCGACTTTTTTTTCATTTTAATTTTTTTGTTTAGAAAAGGTTGCTTTTGTCTCCATCGATACGAGTGAACAACTACATCGATCTATTGATCTTCACTCGTGTACTCCTCGCACCGAGTAACCTTTCTGCTTGAGATCTTACGCAGGAAACTGGACGTCTTCTGGCTTTATGTGCTCTACAACACTACAAGGTCCTAATAGAGCCGTGCTTAAACACTACAAGGTCCTAACTAGTGCTAAACCACAGGTTCTAAAACACAGGTATAGGCAAGGTCCTTGCTACAGTTGTTCTAAAACACAGGTAGAGGCAAGGTCCTTGCTACAGTTGTTCTAAAACACAGGTAGAGGCAAGGTCCTTGCTACAGTTGTTCTAAAACAAACAGACAAGGACCTGACTGTTGACACAAAGAGGCATAGACCTGACACAGTGATGACGCTATTTTAAAAAAATCCCAACTTTGGTATAGCTCGTCATTGATCACCAGTAAATCTGATCAAATCAACCTGGCCTGGACTGGCTGAATCAAACGCTCAATCAGATTAGCGCGCGCACATTTAACGTTCATTAACGACGACATGGCGCTCGGCTTTAATGATAGACTAGGCACAGCAATTGATGATGGCCGCTGATAGGGGCGACTCCTGATTAGAATGATTAGAGAACAACGAACAAAACCAAAAAAATAAAAAAAATTAAATGGAATAAAAACATTCGCTTGGATTATCAGAGATAACAGTCGTTAACGGACAGGGCACAGCCTGAGTTACGGCTAGATTTATAGCTAGGTTTATAGCTGGGTTTTACAGTTACATTTTTAGACAGATTTTACATTAAAATTACAGTTGCTTACATTTAATTTTACAGCTAAATTGTAGTAAGATTTACAACAAATTTTAAGAAACATAATACAACCATACTAATATTCAAATTTACGAGTCGTCGTCACTTTCGCTAGAATATCTAGTTTACAATCAGTTTCGCTAGAATATCTAGTTTACAATCAGTTTCGCTAGAATATCTAGTTTACAATCAGTTTCGCTAGAATATCTAGTTTACAATCAGTTTCGCTAGAATATCTAGTTTACAATCAGTTTCGCTAGAATATCTAGTTTACAATCAGTTTCGCTAGAATATCTAGTTTACAATCTCAGGCAAACTAATCTAGTCAGTCTGGACATGCCCATGAAACAGATATTGACAGTATGGTTGCTTAGCAACGGGGTCCATCCTATGATCAAATTGGATCAAATCACCCAGCAACCGTGGACATCACTTGCAGACCTCTGACGTCATCGTTCACCATACGCTGCTCTAAAAGCCGAAAAAGTGTTAAGTTTTGTTGACAAACGCACTAAAGATACGGAAAGTTCAATTCTTCCGACACCAGCGTACGAGAGATACGGAAAGTTCAATTCTCCGACACCAGCGTACGAGAGATACGGAAAGTTCAATTCTTCCGACACAATCGTACGAGAGATACGGAAAGTTCAATTCTTCCGACACAATCGTACGAGAGATACGGAAAGTTCAGTTCTTCCGACACCAGCGTACGAGAGATACGGAAAGTTCAGTTCTTCCGACACAATCGTACGAGAGATACGGAAAGTTTCTCGCCTGGAGCCAAGTTAGCCATATCTGTTTATGACGTGATAAACTGGGTTGAAAAAAACGTAAAGGTTTAAGTTTGGGTTTGTTTACATATCGTGTCACAAGATAGGCGTTGAAATTTAAAAGTCTGCACTCGTCCCGTGCAGGGGAGACTACGCTGCTGGCTCATTTCTGACAGGAAATTTATGATTTTGTTTTTTTAAACATCATATCTCATGATAATAGTGGGAGGATATTAAACTGAAAACGATTTAATTAAAGAATGTGGCCATTTTGAATAAACTTTTTGGACGATAAGGTAGATTTAAATATCCTTTTTAAAATAAACAATTTTAAAATACCGAGACAAAAAAAATAAATAAACAGCCCACGCAGATAAAATTCGCTAATTTGCCTGAGGTTTTAAAAAAAATCATGTTAATATCAAATGATTCATCATTAGATAACCTAATGAGAATCCCGGCTAGGGTCGGGGCAGACGGCTTGTGGGGATGGCCAACAAATTACATGGTCTTGCATTAAACATGGGACATTACGACCAGCATCGTCCAATCAAAAAGCCGTTTACACCCGGGCTGATTAGTCATGCCAAGGTCAGATCGCTGTTGTGCTGCGTCCAGGTACGTCCAGTCGTTAAACGTCTCGCGAAAATCAAGTCGTTAAACATCTCGCGAAGATGTAAATTTAGGCTGAAACAAATGGAATCGCATCGACCGGCTGGTTTTATATTTTAAACTGCAGGAGGGAAACAAAGCAGGGGGTTGGCAGGGGTTGATGGAGGTTGACAGGGGTTGATAGGCGCAGTATGGAGGTTATCGTCGGGTTGACAGAAGGTCGTCCTGAAATCAGGGGCTGGTAAAGGGTTCACCGGGGTTGGTGAGGGGTTCACTTGGCTACTAAGAAGAGAATCTAAAAAAAGTCTTCTCTAGTATTCCATCAGCTTTTTACAAAAAAAAAGCAGTTGACTTATCTCACTCAGAAATAAACAATTAAAACTTATTTTCCTCTGACTATTAAATGAAGAATAAAAATTGTCAAGTAAAAAAGAAACGAATCAATAGATAAACACTGAGTTGAGTTTGTATCTTATATCTTGAAGACAAGCAAACCCTGACTTACATCTCTGCTAAAAAGTTTCACAACAAACCTATGTATCACCTCCCCCCCACCCCCACCCCAGCGCTTATCTCTTGTAGAGGAAAAATGTTTTCCTTAGAGGAAGAGTCAAGGTAAATTTGATTTGATCTTCAGCTTCTACGTACGGTACCTTCCAAAACCTGGTTCCGGATTTTTTTGGGGTTTTCCACCTGTTACCTGGACACCATGAAATAGGCCAACTGGCAGGTAGGCTAGAAGCAATTATGTCGTCTAATTTAGCACCTTGTAATTAACATCCGAATATTAGACCAGACACCCCTACATTTTTATGACGCTGACTTAGTCTCAGACGTTAAAAATAAACGATTCCTAAACGTGTTTTTTATTTTATTGGGGTGGTTTTCTTTTTTAAGGTGTCCCTCTATGCCAGCAAGTTGTCACTGTCTTTTTAATATGTGCACCTCACCAAAAGGGGCACAAATGTGCATCTCGATAGTAGGAGCACAAATGTGCACCTCGCCAGCATGGGGACAGTTGTGCATCTAACTAACCGGGGCACAAATGTGCATCTCGATAGTAAGGACACAAGTGTGCATATTACTAGCCGTGGCACAAATGTGCATCACTCTAACCGGCAGTGGCTGGAGCCATCAATGAGCCTGTGAGCCACGTGATCGTGCACGCAGCACTTGGCACGAGGCCAGGTGTAGCCTGCTGAGTCCCTCACCCAGCAGGCGGTGCCAGCAGACGAGACATGCTTCAACTGCCAGCAGACGAGAGATGCTTCAACTGACACAAAAAAATACACACCTCCATTCGGTCAAACCGTTTTCAAGATTGGCTTTACACGTGTAATTTAAACATTAAAAATACGTTTGATATAAAAAACACGAGTTATAATTACTTTGTTTATTTATGGACTCGGATGTGATATCACTTTTCGACCCTCATTTTTTTTGAAAGGTCAATGAACTTTAAATTTCACATGAAGTACGCGGGGATATTTGATTTGAATGCGAAATATCACGCAAAGAAAACATTGTGGGTTTTGCTAATCTTGTAGGGATTACTTTAAATAGAGCACAGTAATTTTAAACTGCTAGGGGTATATTCGAGTAGAACTAACGTGCAATTAAAAATACAGGTGAATTAAACATGCGTAGTGTGGGGGAGTGACCCTCACCTTTAAAAGTGTGTGGGGAGGGGGTGATACAATAAATACAGAGGGATGTGTACTACAGGAACAAGTTAGGCTAGCAGGTCTCCACTTCGGGAACATGTTCCTCTAGAACACCAGGGAACCTGTTTATGTAGGAACATATTCCTCTGAAGGAGAAGGTACTAGAAGAAAACATGTTCCTGATAGACGAACCGCTGGCACAAATATTGTAAGGATCACACTTGACCTTCAGATAGGAGGGAGGCTGACGTTAAATTTTTTTATCTATTTCACTTGAAGTAAAAAAAAATATCTAAGTCAACATGAAGCAAGCACGGCACAAAACTCAGTGCTTCAGGTCTATATGATGGCTAGTACTGCATGGGGGGGGGGGGGGGGGGGGGGTCGTATAGCACTAACTAATGTGTACATTTTGTACCAACGGTTTTAATTATTATTTTTTTTTTGAGTAGGTCTACCTAGGCTACAGGTTCCCAGAAAAATACGCAAATACAAACTTATTATACAAATATACTTGTATTTGGTCGCAACATGTTTTATTATGCTAGGTAAGATTTTAATCAGTAACGGCAATTAAGACTGTTCCCAATAGAAGCGTCACATACACTCAACACGCAAACACAGTTATGCGTTCTCAGTGCAGGATGGTGAATGTTGAAATTCTAAAAGTTTTTTAGGATGGTGGATTCTGGAATTCTAAGAGCTTTTTAGGATTGTGGATTCTGGAATTCTAAGAGCTTTTGAGGATGGCGGATTCTGGAATTCTAAGCGCTTTTAAGGATGGTGGATTCTGGAATTCAAAGAGCTTTTTAGGATTGTGGATTCTAGAATTCTAAGAGCTTTTTAGGATTGTAGATTCTGGAAAACTAAGCGCTTTTAAGGATGGTGGATTCTGGAATTCTAAGAGCTTTTTAGGATGGTGGATTCTGGAATTCTAAGGGCTTCATCTCCATGTGAGGTGAACGTATAATTTTTCTTACCAATGTCGCACTCTGCGCCCATCCACCCGTGTAGACAAATTTTGTCGCCTTGAGTGTCGCAGGTGAAATGTCCAAAGTTATCATCTCTTGGTCTGGAAGTAAAGGAAGAATTTTTTTTTAAAATAAACGTGAACAACTTTAGTAAGTTAAGATGTCCAAAGTTATCATCTCTTGGTCTGGAAGAAAAGGAAGAAATTTTTTTTTTTTAATAAACGTGAACAACTTAAGTTAGTTAAGAATAAATTAAATAGTTCGGGGTAAATTACGATTCAGTTGAAAATAATTAATTTGCTTCTCGCTAAGTCATTTGAGATAACTATGCAATTATTGATCCTCGAAATAAATACTTAAAATATAAATCGATTTTAAAGAAGACTACGGAGATGCAAGAATGTGCATCGATGCAGGCCTAAATATGGGACGGTGGCGGTCTCCGAATAGCGTTGACCAGGCAACACGCTGTGCGAATAGAATACTTTATTCCTATGGGATTAGTTAAGGGGTAAGGCTAGGGGTATAATTTATAGTGACTGTAATATGCAATTTAGACTCGTAACATGTGGGGTATGGTTTATTTACAGAAGGTCACACGCAGTAAAGAATGAAATAGCTCTAGCTCCTAATACCCCCCCCCCCCCACACACACACACTTGCTAGTATAGACAGATACCTGCTTTGTTACAGTTTTTTTTCTTAAACTGAACACAAAAAATACAACAGAATCTTCTGCCAAGGTCACGCCTGTCAACCCAGATTTGACCCAAAGTCTGAAGGTCAGACCAACAAGACCTACACCTAATGTCCGTGAACGCTTGGAACAGACTCCTACCGCGCAAGTAATGGCGTGTGTCGCCTTCCGCGGGAAATTTGGTCGGATGGAAAATATCTCCTGCAGAGTTGCGCTGTTAACCGTGGCCGCCAATGTTTGTTGTCTTTAGGGTGAACACAAAAAATGGACGGGAGAAAAACAACGGAACCTGCTAGGTTCGAGGGCCCGCAACTGTGTTCACCAACCAACCAGGTCCCCACTGGTAGGCAGATCACGACAAGTTGCTCAGCCATGGGTTCATTTCATGGAGCAGAAACTACAAGTCCCCAGCCGACTTAAAACCCATTCTTTCGGAGCATCTCCGTTTCAAATTTCGACCGTAATGTGTTGATGCGCTGCGGCGCTGATGCATACATTAATGTATTTTCATCCTGCTAGATGCGATAGAATTTTTAAACTCCTACAAAAAAAGATCTAGCTGAGCGGCCATTGATATTAAACACAGTACATCCGATTTTAAAACGTTTATACATTTTGTATTTGGATTTTTTTCTTAGAGTTTTTTTTTTTAGAAAAATGTGTTCACGTAAAATTAAATGATATTTATACTTGTCTGCTTTAAATTAGTTTTTAGCATTTCATATTGGTAAACGAAACGGTAGATTTTCTTAAAACAACATAGAGATTTAGTTACAAGCCAGTAGTCGAAGTTCTAAAAATAGCCTGGGATTCTGGGCAGTGGCAAGGTAAGTAACCCATGTCAGCCGGGTATGCCGTGAGTACCAGGGTATGCCATGAGTACCAGAGTATGTCGTGAGTACCAGGGTATGCCGTGATTACCAGGGTATGCCGTGAGTACCAGGGTATGCCGTGAGTACCAGAGTATGCCGTGAGTACCAGAGTATGCCGTGAGTACCAGGGTATGCCGTGAGTACCAGGGTATGCCGTGAGTACCAGGGTATGCCGTGAGTAACATGGTATGCCGTGAGTACCGGTAGATGGCGCTTACCTGCATAGCTTGGTGCACGTGGTGTTGTAGTAGTGCTCGTTACACCTGACCCTCAGCCGGAAGGTGGCGCTGGCCGTGATGCCGCTGTAGTTGATGGTGTGCCAGTCCTGACCGGGTACAATCATACCCGTCGTCACGATACGCTCGATCAGGTCGTCTGGGGATGGTCACGTGATAGGTTAGCCCTGGGGGGGGGGGGGGGTAGGCCAGGTGGGGTGGGGGCTGTTTTTACTTTCTCGTATATACGTAGTATAGAGAAAGTATTGTAATCGTGCAAAAAAAAAAAATCGAGATTTTTACAAATCTCGACGTTTTACACCTCACTGATACGGAAAAACATAATTTTGCAATCTTGTCCGTATGTCTGTGTGTGTGTGTGTCTGTGTGTCTGTCCGTGTGTAAACACGATAACTTGAGTACCGTTACAGCTAGGTTGATGAAATTTCATATATAAGTATTTTATCAAAATCGTAGATCCGTATCAACTTTTGAGCGATTTCCGATAACCGGAAGTGGTACTTTTCCTACTTTGAATTTTTTAAAAGCCTATAACTTGAGTACTATTTCAGATAGATAAATGAAATTTCACATGTAAGTAAAAGATCTAATTCTCTACCTTCTGTTAAATTTTGAGTAATTTCCGTTGACTGGACGTAGTAATTTACGCTACTTCCGATTTCTCAAAAAACTAATGTAAATTTTTAAAGTACTAATAATATTGCGCACTATTATACGCGATTTTATTCGGCGTTTGCTTGGTGCGCAATGTTTTTTTAATGAGATTCTATTCTATTTTTAAAAGTTTAAGTATTTAAAATGGATTAAAAATCATAACTATATCCCCAGTTACCATCCCCTGTTGTTTTATATAAGAATATTCGAGAAAGTTTAGGGGAGATCACTACCGGTTTATTTAAAAGGATCATCCCAAAATACAGTTGTCTGTGGAACGCGTGAGCTACATCGTTTTATATTTACTGAAAGTGATCTGCCCCTGTCGGGCAATACACTTCTGATCTCTAACTTTAGCACTTTGTTATATCATAATCCGTATACACTGATGTACAACGTTCACACTTTGTTATATCAAAATCCATATAAACTGATGTATAACTTTCAAAGTTACATCCAAACCCACCCACATCCGAATGTCACCTAAGTATTATCACCACCTACTAAGACCCACACGTCACTCACAAATGTCACCACTTACTATGACTCAAATGTCACCCATAAATGTCCCTCACATGTCACTCACTAATGTCACCACCTACTAGGACTCAAATGTCACCCACAAATGTCACGCACAAATGTCACCCCCATGCCACTACTTACCAGGCCCGTGGTTGTCTTTATCCCAGAGTTCTACCAATAAAGTGTACGCCCTCTGCAAAAAGAAAACAAAAATATTATTAGCCGCTTCGCGAGTAAATTGTGATGTTGAAAAATACTTGTTAAAATACATTGCACAAACTCGCATAATCTGAAAATTTTATACATAAAAAAATGGTTTGGCTATTTCTAGTGGGAGATAACTCGGATCTTGTTCTACATTAGTGTTTTGTGAAATGAAATTTAATGTGAAGCTTAACGGGTCTCGCTGAAGAGTGTCACTATGGCTTAACGAGTCTAGCTATAGAGTGCCACTATAGCTTAACTGGTCTAGCTGTAAAGCAGAACTATGGCTTAACTGGTCTAGCTGTAAAGCAGAACTATGGCTTAACAAGCACAGCTGTAGAGTGTCTATATAAAGTAACCGGTCTAGCTGTAGAGTAAGCATATCAGGACCGAAGACCAAAACAGATGGCCTTGACCTTACACCCTTGCCGCCAGCGACCCTAAGGTCGTCTGCTATCCCCCCCCCCCCCCCCCCCCCCCCGCCAACGTTCCATCCCATCCAATCAGTCCACGTGTGTACGCCGATGTGTCTGGAGGCCGTCCCAGCATACACCAGGGCTTCCACCTCTGACCTTTCCATGCCAGATCACACTGCGCATGCCCACAACAGCCAATCAGATTCGAGTACCATTTGATTGTTTTTGTGCAGCAATCTGTCTGGACAAATACACAAACACGAATCAAAATAAACGACAAATTTGTCTTTTTAAAATGACACCTCGATGAAAGCCAAGAATTTTTTTTTCCAAAAATCTGGTTTGGCTTCAATTAGTTTGACAAGATGTTAGGATTATCAGCACACCCCGCCCCGCCATTTTTTCCTGCGTGAACGAAGGGCTTGTTTCTGTGCTGCTGTCTATCTGACGATCAACTTTCCCCTTCCAGAAATGACGAGGGATTTAAAAGATTAACGCCTGATCCAGACTGCTCCTCCTATAGTTAAAGAGCGTTGCCAGGTTTAAATGATACTCCGCGAAAACAAATAGTGCGCTCTCCTAGGCGACTCAGCGCGTCAGCCCGTAGCAGAAATGATAAGAGATATCCAAAAAAGATTACTCCGCCAACTTTTCCGATTCATATTCAAATTTGATGGCTTTTTATTGCAACCAACCACAATTTTAAATGGGTTTTCTTTTAAAAGATGTTATCCCGTCATAAGGGATTAGCATAACTTAAAAGCAGTTCCTGGCTTTTGGCAAGTTTAGCACCGCGCAGATTAAGGTATTTTCCCTCATCATTTTTATCATGATAAAATATCACACATGATTTTTTAAAAAACTTGCCATAAAAACATTGGACAAAGAAAAATACACGTAATGAGTAACAAGCGTGATAGTTTATACTAGCTTTAATTGTCTATTTTGTTACGGGTATATAAATGGGATAACTCTTCGATTCTGAACTTTGACCTTTAAATCTTTGCTAGGTAAATAGTGCCTTTACAGAGCTGGTTGGAGCCATGCAATTAATGATACAATACATATATCTGTAGACTGGACACCAAGATGGACGACCAGTAAACAGTGGACTGGACACCAAGATGGACGAAAAGTAAACAGTTGACTGGACACCAAGATGGACGAAAAGTAAACAGTTGACTGGACACCAAGATGGACGAAAAGTAAACAGTTGACTGGACACCAAGATGGACGAACAGGAGGAATCCAGTAAACAGTGGACTGACTGAACAGCACGATGAGCCAATGAGCGTGGCCAGAGAACCAGATATGGTTGCTGGCTCTCCAGTTACCCGCCTGGACAGCTTTGTCGGACAACAGTACGGGCGTGGGGCACGGGGAGTGTCCAGAGAGAGGTATGAACCCACGGGATATGAAACATAGCTGACCACGAGAAGTGTCCATGTTGTTTTTTCTGGCACGGTATGTTTTGGTGAAAGTTTGAGGTGGGGGGTATGATGAGGGTGGGGCTGGTGAGCAGTACGATGTGGTGAGGCTGAAGGAGCACATATTGGGGGTGGGGTAAGGGAAAGATGATGGGGGTGGGGCTGAACGTTTTAGACAAGATTGAGATTAATTTTATCATAATGAAAAATAGGCAGTTATTTTTGTTCAAGCTTTCTTTCCAATAGTTAAAAAAAGCTTCTTCCTGGATTTGATAAATCTAGTCATAAATCAAGCCAAAAGTTTCCAGAACTGAATGAATGAACGCATCCTGTCGGGCTATCCGGGAAGTGTCGTGTGTTTAACTTGTCATAATGTACGTGGCTCTAAAAATAGCATTCAAAAGTTCTAAAAATAGAACATACAGGTAACCATCTGTTTTATTTCATTTTTAACTTTAAGAATTTTTAAGAACAATTCAAATAAAAAGTTACAATAATTTAATGCAGCTATTTAGTTTTTTTTTTAATTATCAAAGTTAAACGAAAAAAAAGTTCTTTCGTGTGATAAGTGAATCGTGAATGACAGTTCTGCGACACGACTAACCTTATGTTTACAGTAACGGGAATTTCTGCTTCATTTTTAGACTGACAACAACGAGGACACCTATCGTGAGTTTCTGGTGTCACATAAACAATTCGTCTTTGTCAAAGTCTGCCTTAAACTGAGGAAGTTCGCATTTTACCTTCCAACCTTCATCATGTCTCACGTAGTAGCTAGACATGGAGTAGTCACCATCTAGTTTAAATAGTGCACGGCCGTCTATCATCCCCACAGTTTTAGATTTACGCTGTGCTACTTCAGTTCTCATCTATTTGGTAAATCGCTGAAGATTGTTGTAAGTCCATGAAAAAAAACAAATATTCCTAGTTCGTTCTTTTAGAGATTTGGGATACCATTATCTTAACTTTAAGGGTATACTCATGCTACATAATTTCATTTTTTTTTTCTCCCAGATAATGGAAGCAATACTCGGAGTTCTAGCTTTTATTGGTGAGTTGATGTTTTTTTTTTTTTTAAATCATTTTATTTTATTTAGCTAATCGTTTAACAATTAATATTTTCAGTGTATTTGCGATTTTTATGAGCTATTTCCATACATCGGTGTATTTTACTTCGAATATGGATTTATATTCAATGTGAAAAAAGGCCTCCGTGCCTACTATTGTTACCGTAGTTGAATAAATAAATAAATATTTAGATCGCATATGATTTATTGTCAATGTGCCATACCACTACCCGCTTGTGTTTATGGCGGCCTATAGTTTTTATGTGGTAGCTTCTATTTCACTGACATGGATTATATTTTACGAGCCGGCCCGCGGCATAACATACGCCGCTATTTAGTTGTTTCTAATTTTCAATAATTCATAATTTGTGAATTCGACAGTACCAACGCTGACACTGAAAATATTTCTTTAAAACACTATAAGTAGCTCGTTAAGGACCATAACCCCCCCCTTCCTTCCCTCCCCCCTCCTCCCCCCCTACGTTTAAAATCGTTGGCTCTGCTTGTAAACATTTAGAGTGAACACAGCTCACTAAAACCATGTAGGGGTGGGGAGGTAGGGAGAGCGTTTGCAGCTTGTTTTCTAACGGCTCGAAGAAGAGAATTATATATATAGATTATTAATTTTGACATGTATATTCCCAATCTTGTTGCTCAACAGTTGCTACCAGCTTGGCACAAGTCGGACCTAATGTAAGATTTGCTTCTTGATACTGGTAGTTTCATTTATTTTTTTGTACTGCTAGAAGGCTGACATTTTTTTTTTACTGCTAGGAGGCTTAAATTTTTTTAGTGCTAAAAGGCTTAAATTAATTTTTTAAACTGCTTATAGCGAGTTGTCTTTCAATGAATAAAGGTGTGTTTGTTATAAAAGCGAGCAGCGTTTATAATCACGTGACAAGCCAGGTATGGGCAGGTAGTAACAGGTGTCTTGTGTTTCAGCAGGCGGCTTCCGGGTATACCAACAGATTGTTGCCGGCGCTAAACAGGTGGGTCAATGGCCTCTCACTCCATGGGTAAACTGTCAGGGGATGGGTGGGTGGGGGGGGGGGGGGGCTGGACAAAGTGGTGGGGGCTGGGGCTGGACGAAGGGCAGTTGTAGCCCAATGTCCCAACTTCTAAAATCGTTACAGGCTGGCCAAAGTTGTAGGACACGTGTAGACAAATGTTCCAACGTGTAGACTTTTGTACCCCAACTTTTGTCACCCAACTTTTGTACCCCAACTTTTGTCACCCAACTTGTGTACCCCAACTTTTGTACCCCAACTTTTGTACCCCAACTTTTGTCCAGCTTTTAAAATCATTATAAAACAGCCAAGCTCATAAAACATTTGTGGCCCAGTGTCCACCAATCGCTCTATAAACTTATATAAACGAAGCCTCGACTTTTAAAGTGTTTGGGGCTGGGCTACATGCCAGTAGTTAGCTTGTTTGTTAGTGTTAATTAATTATGTTAATGACTCGCGAGCTGATAGTAGCTAACCTTTACGTGAAGCACCTGGTGGGGGTGGGGGGGGGGCTATATACTGTAAGCTGTACTGATGTATGACATCTGCGGGGAGAGGGTTGGGCTACATACTGAACTGATATACGACCGACACCTGAGTTGGACTCAGACATAAAATTAAAAAAAAATATTTCGAAATCTCCTCAAATGTCCGTGTACGTCTACAGGCGAGGGCGTCCTAACGGCAGTGATAGCCGGTCCGGGGGGCAGGGGATCAATCCCGCATCAGACCAGGGTCCGGGTTTCAAACCCGCATCAGACCAGGGTTTTATCACAAGCTTCAGTGGACCGGGTTCAAATCCTACCAGACCAGTGGGAGACGCCTCAAACGTGGGTGGTGTGGGTCACATGACTCCCGTTAACCGTAAGTAGTGACGTCAGAATCATTCATTTGTTTCTTTACTCAACATAAGGTTATACAGTAACAACACAGATTTCTTTATTTTAAAGAGAGCGGGTTCGAAACCTACTGGGGTTAAGAATTACGCTCTGAATTTTTAATGTATCAAGTTAACGTGTGATAATGAATGAAACATGATAAGTGTGTGATATTTATCTGACGTGTTTCTCTGTGTACCTACAGGCTGTACACAGCTAGACGCAGGCTGTGTCACCACACAGGTGGACCCTGCCCCGATATGCAAGTACACATATGACTACACACAAATCAAGTGTGTTAAAGTCGAGGTCACCAGCGAGTGTGTTGCTATACACGGTGGAGTGAGCAATTTATTTGACACACTTTTAGAGTGCGAACAACACTGTAATTAGGTCATGTGTAATTAGGTAATGTGTAATTAGGTAATGTATAATTATGTAATGTGTAATCAGCTGATGCGTAATTAGGGCATGTGTAATAAGGTCATGTGTAATTAGTTTTGGTTTGTAATAAGTTCAAATGTAATTATGATATATGTAATTATGTCAGGTGTAATTAGATCAAACGCAATGAGGTCAAATGTAATTGTGTCATGTGTAATTAGGTCGTGTATAATTAGGTCATGTGTAATTAGCTGATGTTTACTTGGGTGATGTATAATTAGGTGATGTGTAATAAAGGGACGATAAATTAGTGATATGTAATAGTGTGATGAGTAATTAATGAATAATGTAATAATACATACATTTTTTCAACCCTTATTAGGGTTGTTGAGTGGTGTGTCTAAGGCTAAGTGTCGCATGGCGGTGCACACCCCTTTACATGCCCATGTGTGATTGGGTGATGTGTAATTAGTCATTGTGTGATCAGTGATTTGTAATTTGGTGATAATTAATTACGCGATATGTATTTAGATGTATGTAATTTGTGATTTGTAATTTGGTGATAATTAATTACGCGATATGTATTTAGATGTATGTAATTTTGAATAAAACATTAAGTGATGTGTAACTGAGAGTTGAGTAATTGAGTGGTGTGTAATTTGTATTTAGGTGAAATGTGATTAGGTAAGATGTAATTAAGTGAGTAATAATTAAGTGATATGTTACTAGGTGATGTGTACCTAGGACATATGTAACTATGACTTGTGTAATTAGATGATATGTAAAAGGTGCTGTGTAATTAGATGTAGTGTGGTTAAATGCTGTATGAGCCCCCCCCCCCCCCCCCCCCCCGTATAATATGGACACAATAAACTGTGATAGAAAGATTTGACTTGAGTACATCAGTGAGTGTTGATTGAACTGGTCGGCCTGTAGTGGGTGAGCGACGGTGAGATCAAGTCTAGCAACACTCGGGGGATGTGGCTCACTACATCAGAGGTGAGACTGGTGATACAAGTCAGAGGTGAGACTGGTGATACTGAGACTGGTGATACAAGTCAGAGGAGAGACTGATGATACAAGTCAGAGGTGAGACTGGTGATACAAGTCAGAGGTGAGACTGGTGATACAAGTCAGAGGTGAGACTGGTAATACAAGTCAGTGGTAAGACTGGTGATACAAGTCAGAGGTAAGACTGGTGATAAAAGTCAGAAGGTGAGACTGGTGATAGCGCATTAATCAGACACTGCTAAAATTGTTGACTAGTATTTTTCTCAGCTGCAGCTCAAGCACACGAAAAAACGTTGGAAAAATGACGTCATTCAATAGTCCAAACTGTAATATACCATAAGCCATTGGTTCTTAACCTGGGTTCTATCGAGCCCGAGCGGTTCGGTAAGACAGTCTCAAGGGTTCGATGCCTCCAAAAAGGATTTAAGCCGGTATGGACAAACCAACTTGAATTTTCTTCTTAATCGTTGACACATTCTTGCATTGTCCGAAGATCTTTCTATCTGCATGTGTGCCTCAGTGTGTACGTGTGTGTGTGTATGTTTGTATGTGTGCGTGTGTGTGTGTGCGAAAGTGTATGCGTGCGTGTGTTTACAATAGACGAGAGCGCCGGTCACGTGATCCTCCGGACACATACATATTTAAGCGGGTCGCCGAAACGATAATGATATGCTAATTAGTGGGCGACATTTAACCGGACGGTTGGCTTCCGGGTGACGTCATCGGATCGATCTAATCGAAGCCATCACGTGATTACATTAATAATACATACAAACCAATCTCGGGTTCAGGGCATGAAATCTTAGTCCAGCTCACTCCATGAATAAATTAAAAAACAAAGAAATGATCTCTCACCCCCCCCCCCCCCCCCCCACCCCCACCCCACCCGACCCCAGCAACGTATGATTGCGACAACACAAATATCGGGTCTCCGTTACTTTTTAACTTGTCTCCCCCTTTCATCCCATTTGTCAAATCGCTCACCAATTGTTGACGGGCAAATATTGGTCCGTAGATTAGACACCCTTAATGCATGTCCCGCCCCATCTCCCCACCCTTGACCCCCCATCTCCCCCACCCCAGCGAGTCAAAGGGTCCCCCCCCCCCTCCCGCAAGTGTCGATCAATCATGTATTACATCAGTCAACACTTGTCAAAGCTTCTCGAATCGCCCTCGGCTTCTGTCATATTATCTTGGGCTTGAACTTTTTTTGTGGCCATTTTTTAAAAAGTTTTTTTTTTAGTTTTGTATCTTATGTAATACTGGTATTATCCCATTAATTTTAGAATGTTTTGGTGATTATTCTTACTTCAATATTAAATTTGTTGATATTAAATTTTCGTTTTTCGTTTGCATTTTGTTGAAAATCAGTATTTTGATTATCACCTCTACTATGTGTCGGGGGTAGGCCTATCTAGTGGTACATTTCGTTTGGCCTGTTTTGAGACATTGCAGGATTTATGAAAACAAACATTTTTTTAGGGTGGAGTCCCCTTGTATATGAACGTCTAGTGTCTAGGGTATGTTCATCACTTCGTCTAGATTTGGTTAACCATTTCTTTTATTCTTTTGATATCTTCACTCAGAAACATTATGTTCGCCTGTTCAAATCTACATAGATCGTCCGAATAGTTATGTTTTCCAAAGTATATTGTATAAAAACAAATTTATGCGTACTTTGCCATAAGGTTTTGTCCAAATTATTTTTGCCCAAAACCTTTAAGATATTTATTTCAAAATCGTCTTGACTAAAGTGTTATGTCCCTTGTCTAAAGTGTTGTGTCCCTTAGCTAAAGTGTTGTGTCCCTTACATAGTAGAACTATGACAAGACAACATCGGTTTGATGGCTCAGAATCAGAACTTTCTACTCCGTATCTTACTTATCTTCACCCCCCCCCCCCCCTCCGTGTTTTATTCCTGGATTTTTGTCCTATATTTGTACTCTGTATTGTACCCTGTATTGTACTCAAGTATTTTACTCCTGTATTTTACTCCTGTATTTTACTCGTGTATTTTTTACTCCTGTATTTTACTCGTGTATTTTTTACTCCTGTATTTTACCCCGTATTTTAACCGGTATTTTACCCTCCCCTGTTCTCTAGCCCTCACTCCCCTAGCCTAGATGCTGGCTAACAAAGGGAAACAACAAGGGTCAAGGTCATCTAGAAAAATAAATGCAAATGAAAGTTGTAACGGCTTAGCAGCAGTTGAAGACTAATGTTGACAAACTGCATTTAAATTCCCGCCAAGCTGGGAACATGCGCGCGCTGGTGGGCGGATCCAATATGGCGCTCTCGTCTGCTTCATCTCATCGTTTGCCTTGATAGGTTTTTACGTCAGGTCGGAGCTTAACTTCTGCTATAGGGGCAGTCCCATGTCAAGTCTGATCTTATGTCATCTATAGAGTCAGTCCCTTCATATATGATCTTATGTCATCTATAGAGTCAGTCCCTTCATATATGATCTTAAGTCATCTATAGGGTCAGTCCCGTCATGTCTGATCTTATGTCTGCTATAGAGACAGTCTCAAGCCAAGTCTGCCATCAAATATTAGATACAGGTGACGTCAGGTTCTGCTAGTGTTCCACCTGCCCCTCCCCCCCCTCCTCACGCTCAAACTGTTGCTGGTCATAGTTGCAGTTGACGACCTTATTTGGTGCTAATACGTCACATGGAACAATCCTATGGAGTCTATAGACATTTGGCAGTACTACGTCAACTTTTATCAACGAGGAGGGGGGGGGGGGGAGGGAGAAGGGGAGGGGAGGGGAGGAGGAGGAGGGAGATAATTTATCACGTGATTATACCCCGATGAAAGCGCCCCCTCGTGACCTGCAGATTGTAATTTAAATTTTTAGCCCGGTACCAAGAGATAATGAGCATAAATCGAACTAATGACGCCCCCTCCCCACCCTACCACCCCCCCCCCACCTCGGTCTATTAAAGAGTTCGCTCCCCATTTAATTGACTTTAAAATTGATGTACAAGGGGACTTAATTGAAACTGAATTCAAGTTGTTTTAATTTTTTTTTTAAAAGTTGAATTCAATTGCGCTGCTGGAATTGGACATGCATCACGCGATGATCCGGAAATGGACGAAACGAAGCGGCGGGATGCGTCACGTGCCCGGGGAACCAATGGGATGCCACGTCTCTCTAACAGACCTGCAATAGGAGCTGACACATCTCTGCTTGCCGTACGGCATGTGATGTATGCCGTACGTCAAGCGATGCAGCTACCTCAAGAGCGTGACTTGGTAAAATCGAACACCAGATGATCTGTAGATTAGCTTTCATGGGAAATTGTTAAAATTGATTTCATTTTCTTTTAATTTTGGTTGCTTTAAACTTTGCGAATCGATGCTTCCTGTGACTACTTGTCTAGGCATTTAACACGCCATTTTTCTTAATGAACACGACATAAACTTGCTTCGGTCTTAATAAATTAAGCAGGAAATATCAAATATACATTTAGACTTACCATTCTAATGGAGGTAAGTATTACGCTGATGGGGGGGGGGGGGGCATAGCAAGACCAAGGACCTAATCTATTTCTTAGAATTAGAAAAATATAATTATTTTTTAATTGAAAAAGTCACCAAATAAAATCCAGTATAACGAGTTAAATGGTAGGATGGAACACACGTCTTTAAGTTCATGTCAAGAGGACAAATAACGACAACGTGAAGGATAACACCAAGTCGCGACGATAAAAGAAAAGATAAAAAAGGAAAAGTATCCATCCAATCCATGTTTTAAGATAGCCGTGTTTGAAGTCAAGCCTTTCAAGTCAATAAAGGAGAAATAAACAGCGACCTCTGGCGGCCGTAAAACAGACACATCAGCGCTACGGACCTGTCCTTGCCGGGCCTCGATTGTCTTCCCCTGCCAATATGGCCCCCGCCAGACACGTGGTTTATTGGTGGTTAATGTTCAGGTTGAAGGGCCAACAAGGGAAAGGGTACGGGTGGGGGGGGGGGGGGAGGTCTTTAATTTGTGTGGAACAGTTAACTCTATCTCATGACCTGGACTTAGGAGGAAGGAAAGGGGAGGGGGTGGGGGGAGGTCTTTAATTTGTGGGGAACAGTTAACTCTATCTCATGGCCTGGATAAGGAGGAAGAAAGGGGGGGGGGGGGGAGAGGGAGACAGGCAGGCTTTTATCTGGGTTGAACAGTTAACGCCCTCCTAGCCCCTGTCTCTAGTATCCGACACTGGTATCACAGCATCATGGTAAAACAAACATGGTAATAGCCACCATGATAAAAAACACAATGTTAATAACTACCATAATAAAAAACACAATGTTTATAACCACCGTAATAAAAAAAAAAAACACCACGGTAAATACCACTATGGAAAAAACCACCTTGGTGTTACCCATGTATGTAGCCAACAATTTATTGTCTACAACAAAAAATTCGACGTCTGCTGCTGTTGAAATTTCTCAAGAGGTGATTTCAACCTATTTTTAAGTTCAAGTGCA